AAATACACGGTGTTCGTGGCTAACTGGATGACAGAATTTTCTATGTGTGCTTCGAATGTTTCTGCAAGACACCCGTCTTAGATCTCCAGACACAGTCTTCCTTTGTGCGATGTGTATTAGGAGAGTCAACGGAGCTATCGAAACTAATCAGCCTGCCGGTCAATCGGACCCGTGAAACGAGCGAGACCCTGGAAGAGGTGTGGTCAGTCGACCGGGCCAGTCACGCTGCTCCCTTTCGTCTGCAGTGTAGAAACGGCACAATTTGGGCCGCCATTTTTTTTTTTTTTTTTTTTAATACGTTTGAACGCTGTTCAGGAGGCGAGCTTCATTCTAGGTCTGCTGCTTGCGGCGAAAAAAAAAACAAAAAACCTTTTTTTTTTCTTCGCGCTTTTGAGTTGGCGAGAGAGCCGCAGGCTTCTGCGGGAGGGCAAGTCAACGACCCCAGTGGGCTTTACTATAACACAACAATGGCGGCGGCGACGACTTTTGGCTCGCCTTGGCTCGGATAAAGAGCGAAGGGTGGAACCGGCTATGGGCCACACACTCTCCGAGAACTTTCACTGCTCTCCTTCGTGTTCTTTTTTTTTTTTTTTTTTTTCTTTTTCACGATTCAGCGAAACAGGGTTTGGGTGTGCGGTGCGTTCTTGTTTATCCTAAAAGTAAGGGACCGCGCAGCCAAGACGGGACTGAGAACAATGGTGCGTCCCGTTTGTGCACGATCTCGTCGTTTGTTTGTCTTTCTCGTGTGTTTGCCTGCCTCTCTCGTCCATACGCCAACGCGTGGTTTACGAACAAAGCCGCGTGCGCCGGGTGTGGGCGTTGGGGACTACTGCGCGTGCGCGGAACTCGCCGGCACCTATAGTTATCGGAGTTATTAGGGACTTTTATTGGAACGTATTTTTCCCCGTTCCGATTGCGATACGACACATGCTTAAAGGCGCTGGCGGAATATCGGGCATCGTTATCGGAACGATCTACCAAAAACTGCCTATTGGCACGATCTACTGAAACTCGCTTACATTTCGTTCACCCGTTCCTGTCGGCGTCTCGATTCACGCTTCGGAGCACGGGCAGCCAAAGCTCGCGCTGCAGAACCCTGGGATCCTGGGTTCAATTCCCATCCCTGCCCCCGTTTCGATCTGGACGAACATCGTACCGGCGTGGGGTTCGTGTATTACTACCGCGTGAATGCAGGTCAAAGACCCCGAGGTAGCGTGGTACCGCACTAGCTGCGTTTCTCATCGACGGTTGAGACACCAGACGCCCGTGTGGGCCGACCAACTTCGTGCTCTTCATACGTATACGTGCGGCTCGATCAATTTTAAGGCTGATTGGGCCGCATACGTTGCTTGACTCGTATTTCTTTCGCGAAAAAAAAAACAATGTATATATATATTTACGTGATGTATATAATTATTGCTGTATAACTCCGTGCCATCATTTCCGCGCCTCGTTTCGCTGCGTGCTGATGGACTGCCAGTTGCGTTTTGTTTGCTTTCGCGCGTTTTTGCCGGCCGAGTGTTCCTGGAGACTTTCATTTCGTGGATCTCTCCTTGGTTCCTTTTTGTTTTCCTTTTGCGCATTTTAGGAGTAGTGGAAGACGAGTGGCTCTCTCCATAGGGACCCTTCAGTTCGTTCTCGGCTGTCAATCATGGTTGGGATTTTTTTTTATTTTTATATATACCGACGTGTTGTTGTAGTTTTTCTTATTACGTATACGTTTTCGGTTCGTGAGAGTGCGTCGGAATTCGTGACTTCATGCTCTATTTTACGGTGGGAACGCAGCGCAGCAGTCCGAAAGCTACGGGGCTGCGTGGTTTCGACTCCGTTCATCGGGGTGTGCAGCAGTGGCCCTGCTGTCGTCACGGTGCATGCGCTGGCGCCAAGCGCCAGGGGCGTAGCCGGGGGGGGGGGGGGGGGGGGAAGGAAGGAGGGGGGGTTATGGGGCTTCAGCATCCCCCCCCCCCCCCCCCCCCCCCCGCCCCCGAAACCCAGCCGACCCTATAATATACGCAAACATTTTGATCCCTCCGCCCCCTCTCCGCACCCCAAGTCATGAACATCCCAGCCACCAAAGCCCCCCCCCCCCCGAAAAGAATTCCTGGCTGCTCCACTGCTTGGCGCGAATCTGATTGCTGCGCGCGCGCATTGTGCACATTTTGTGTGGGCAAACGCTGACTTGGTTTGTAAACCGCGCGTTGGTCTATACGTCAGGGCGGCTCTAGATTCTGCTGAAGTTAGAATCGTCGAGGATACGCGGCATTTGTTCACGAGCGATGCATTTTAATTGTATTCGGATATTCGAACTTTATAATATTATAACATTATTCCAATATTCTAACTTTATTAAAAATTATAACTTTAGTCAAAAATTCTGGCTGTTCATAAATTTGAACTTTATTCTAGTATTCTAACTGTATTTCACTGCTAACTTTATCTTGGTATGCTAACTTAACTTGATATGCTTACTTTATCCCGATATACTAACTCTTCCAATCTTCTAACTCTTCCAATCTTCTAACTCTTCCAATCTTCTAACTCTTCCAATCTTCTAACTCTTCCAATCTTCTAACTCTTCCAATCTTCTAACTCTTCCAATCTTCTAACTCTTCCAATCTTCTAACTCTTCCAATCTTCTAACTCTTCCAATCTTCTAACTCTTCCAATCTTCTAACTCTTCCAGTCTTCTAACTCTTCCAGTCTTCTAACTCTTCCAGTCTTCTAACTCTTCCAGTCTTCTAACTCTTCCAGTCTTCTAACTTTATTCCAAGAGAGTTTAATGGGGGACCACAAATAAAAGCAAAATACACGTTATCCCTCAAACTTCCTCATTACGTTTCCGATATGTGCTAGGGAAGACGTCACACGACGCTATGCGTGTTTTATTATTTGCTGGGAGTGTGCCGTTGTAAGGAAAGGCAACTCCCAACTTTGTAAGCCGACGAGGTGATCGAGACGGTTCAGGAAATCTGTTGGGTCTATTTTGGTGCGCTTCCGATATCAGATGTCTGCCTCCACTCGCTTTTAAAGCAACTCCGAAAGAACCTGCCTACTCGATTCCACCTCGTAGCGTCGTTAATTTCACCGGCACGCCGTCTTAGCCGCAGATAGAATCGCTTCGCATTCGTGCTGAAACGCACGTATACGTCGTCGCATACCATGTAGAGGCCAGACTGTGCAAAAGGGTTAATAAACATTTCTAGTTTTATGTTTTCTATAACCGGGTATAAGTTCTGTTCATTGTTTTCTTATTTTCGTGAAAACCGTGCGGGAATCTGGCTTCATCTCTACACCTTTCCAACGTTTATCACTCGGCAAAAAAATGCCGAGTCACCGATAGGGCTGTGGACGCTTGCGCGATGTCTGGTATTCCGTAGACGAGACCTAGTGCGCGTGCTCAGAACGTAACTGTAGCGCTTTGAAAATAACTGCAGCGCTCAGAATGAAATTATTGGAATGGTCTGTGGGCCCCGCATGGCACGCCGCGAGAGGCAGTAGAGTTTTAGAATAGCCTTTTGGAAAAAATCTTATATGTATAAGAAACTTGTTGGGCCAATAAACGCATACGATCTAATAAGATCATATAATAACTTATAACTCCTTGCATAGTCTTGTATTGTTTTATATGTTCCTATAAGGTTTGTATATGATCGTACTTGTAGCAGAGCATTTCTTCCACACGCGGCGTCGGTGCTATGGCGTCGGTGTGAAAAATAATTTTCCTCTCGGTCTGTGGAGATATGAGCATGATTGATTGCGCGCACAGCGGCCAAGGACGCTATAGATTGACGAGGAACGCTTTCAATACGACGATGCTCCGAGCGATCTCGGTGCGGCTGGTTCAGGACGACCCTTTCGAAGATTCCAAGTTTGGTCGTCTGTACCTTAGTATCCGTTTCTACATGTCCGGCATAGCAGGCAGAGGGAAGCAATGCCGCTACTTTCCCAGTGTCCAGCGACTTTACTCCCCGAACTGCTTGGGTCGTTTCACCGCGCATGCGCGAAACTGGGTGCGCATGCGCAGTGCGACGCCCCAAAGTTGTTTGGGGAACCCCTAAACTTGGGGGCGCCCTATTCTAAAACAAAAGTGTGGTTCGGAATTGGCCCAGCCTGATCGCGTCTTCCTGTTCTCGCCGGCGCCGACAGCGAGTTATTTCGGCTTTGCCACCGCTCCGTTCTCGATTTGATGTGCCTCGCGCGCGACTCCTTTCATTCGGGTTCACGATGGGTTCCGTCTTCCTCCACCCTCCCTCCCACACTTCGAAACGGACAATCGAAAAAGAAAAGAAAAAAGAGGAGCCAACTGCACCGTAATGATAACAATAATAGAGGAAAGAGGGTAAACATGATCTGCTGCACAAGCAAGCAAGCGGCGGCATCAGTCGGTTTTTTTCGTCCGGGGCTGCGGCGCTGTTTGCATAATGTAAAACTCGGCTTAAAGTGACACCAGCTGTTTCGGGACGCCGTTTGACTTTAACCGGCGTACGGTAACCTTTTAACCGGACACACACAGAACGGCGGAAGCGAATCGTTTCCCGGTGGTTGTTGTTGTATTTGTTTGTTTGGTTGTAGTTGGGAGGTACGAGGCCTGTGCTTTTAAACGGAGTATTTCGTCCGAGGGCTTCGTCTGCCGTGTCCTTGCGGTTCTCGCTTGCACGAAATCCTGTTTTGGGACGGGTGAGAAGGAAACGGCGCCCCCCTCTGCGAGAGAGGAGGGTGCGCCTTCTCTCCTTCTCTTGGCTTTAAAAGGGGAGGAGGAGTGAAAGGGAACGTGGGCAGTGACGCTGTTGGGAGAGGGAGGGACGAGAAGCATTGGGAAAAAGAAGCTGCGCTTGATTCGAAGGGGTGGGAAGGTGTACGAGGAGGAGGGGGGTTGACTGGTGGAAGCCGCGTTTGATTGAGCGAGGGCCGGGGGAAGAGACTATCGTGGTACGAGTCTGGAAGGGAGGGGCTGGGGGGAGGGGGAGAGACGGTGGGCGAAGAAGTGGCTCTTTGGCTTGCCGCGCTCTGTTCGGTTTGTTAGGCCGAGTGGGGGAACTCTTGTGTGTTTGAGGCTTTTTCTTTTTATCGTTCTCGCGCCCCCCCACTCCTAGACCACTTTCCTCTGCCAGTTTGTTCTTGAGAGGAGAGGGAGCTACCAGACAGTTGTTGGTGGTGGTTGTGCTTGCTGGGGGCATCGGCTCTGGTGCATGTCTTCTTCACATGTCCTCTTCTGCAGCGCGTTTCATCTTGTGTTCCCGCGTGTGCGACGACGATGGTTCTGGTTGCCGTTTGTAATGTGGCTGATAGCTCGGTGAGATCGTGGGTGTGCTGATTGGTGCGAGGCGCTGCTCGCTGGAGGAGCGAGTGCATGCCAGGAAGTGCGAGAGAGTACTTGTTGATCCGGGTTCGGACGAGTACGTGGTGCACGCCGACGACGGGCATTGTTCTTCGAGACCCGTGAGCGACGTGGTCGGTGCTGCCGGCGGAACTGGACGAGTAGCCGGCGTTTCTCGACTGTGCCGCTGTTGCTGCCGCGGCGATCTGCAGCTGTCGCCTACAACGTCTCCTCTCGGCCTACGCGCGCCGATGGATGTTTGCTGCCAGCTGTTCGAAGGAGTGGTGCCGACTTGCGGTGAACGTGCCGTGCCTTGGGGGCTAGAGGCAGCTGTTGTGTGTTCAGTTATTTTCGCCCGAAGCTCAAGAAAGTGTGATCTCCAATGCCATACGTGGCTTTAATTGCCTGGAGTTGTTAAGGTCATCGTCATCAGCCTCGTCTCATGTGGATAAGCGTCAGCGATCAAAGGCCAAACCGATATTGACTGTGGTGATTTTAGTGGTCTCGTTACTACGGTTATCATCGTCGGGGTCTAGCCGTTGATGCTCTCGGTGAATGGAATCTTACTGGGAACTATCTTCGTCGCCGAGAGAGCGATCTTCGAAGAAGCTTGCAAAGTGGTCCGTTTCACTTGGGTGGGCAAGATATTCATCCGGAGGAAGTAGATAATCGTTTCTTTTTTTCCTGCTGCACGCGCTGTCTGCCGCGCCCGTTTTCGCGTGAAAAGGAAAAAGAAGAAAGAGGTGGAGGCTCGTGCCTTTCTGAATATGGAGGGCGTCTCGCGGAAGACTTCGACGGCGTTGCGAAGGAAGTCCTCTTCCCTGCTGCTGCTTCTTGGCGTGGGAACTTCGTCTTTTGAGGCGAGTGTCGTTGTCGGTGTGACGCCCACTTTATCTGCTTAGAGCTGCGCGGCGTCGGTGACACGTTACCATGTCCTCGTCGTGGAGGAAGAAGATGCGGGTCAAGTGGAACCGTGGCCTGGACGGGAGTTCGGGCTCGAGTCGTGAAGAGCCCTTGGGTGTCTTCGAGCGTCAGGGGTCTCTGCGGAAGCCGTCTTCTGTCGCCGGCAAGGAGGAACCGTTCAAACGGAGCTGGTCCTTCCGCCTCGGTGGCAAGGACACCAAGGACGTCAAAGAGGCGAAGGACGGCAAGGAACACGGAGACAAGAGCATGTTTCTGCGCATGTTCAGGTTCGGCAAGGACAAGAGGAAGGCATCGCTAGATGGTGTCGTCCTTCCGTCTAGGCGACGGATGTCCGACGCCGGTGGTACGGCGACGTCATCGGCGGCGAACGACGTCATTAAGGAAGAACTGTCCCAGTGGTCTTCGGTGCCCGTCGAGTTGAGCGAATCCCCTGAGGTCCAGCGTCGCCAGGAGATTGTCCTGATGAGGGCCCACACTCTGCCACGGTCCCTGGACGCTCCTCCCGTTGGGGGCGGCGGTGACGGCGTGGAAGGATCGCAGGTTAGCGACGGCAACGTCTGGGGCGTCATCTACTGCGACCCCAGGCCAGATTCTGGAGGAGGCGGCTTTAAGGTGCCGAGGGTCAAGTTGGAGTCGACGCCTAGAGAAGGCGCCAAAGAGACGCCGACGCCTCGGGAGTCGCCTGCGAACAACGAGGCCGCGGAAAATGAGAAAGTGCTCTTTTCTGGCGCGGTGGTTCCTCATTTTCTGCGCCCTGCGGACGAAGAGGACGGAGGCCGAGAGCGAGAGGAGGATAAGCGTGGCTTGAAAAAGTTGCTGCTCAACGGTAACTGCCTCGCTGGCAGTGAGCACGGAGCGGTCGCTGCGCTCGGCGGTCGGGAGGCAGTCGTGCTCGAGGATTCTAGCGGCTGCGCTCCGATGGACTGGAAGGAAGACGCTCTTCAGAGTGCGCACGAAGCCGTCGAGAACGGCAACGGGTGCGTGGATTCGGGCTGCTCTCGAGACCTTCAACTATGCCCGGACAGTGCTGACATTGTCGCCGTGAATCTAAATGACTGCGAGTACGACGAACCTGCATCCAACGCGATTTTCGTGGTTGAGGTGAACGAAGGTTACGAAGAGGAAGAAGTGAGCGATGAAAGCGGTCCGCAACCCGAGAGCATTCCAAGCTGTCACCCTGACGGCGAGCTGCCGTTACCCGATGCTCAAGACCAGCGTCTTCAGAACGGATATGCTAACAATCCTATGACAATGTTGGGCTGCACCAGTGCCCGGAAACTTACGGACTCTGCAGAGTTAGCAATGGACGCGAAACCCAGGAACCAGGATTATAAGTCGGAGGACGACTGCGATTATGTGTTTTCTGCTGCCGTGGACCCTTCGGGTGATGGTCGACAGAGTCGCTGTGGTTCGGTGTCCACCAACTCAAACTGCGAGGAGTGTCCGGCCCAAGATGAATTCGAGTTTGTCGCCGCTGAGCCGTCCGACGCAAAGCGACATCGAAGGACGAGTCGCGACACGATGTCGCCGCCCGTGTCGGATGTTTCCGATGATGAGTTTCCGGCCGACGAGAGGGCAAGCTTTATCTACCTCAAGCCGGACTGTCCACGGGAGTCTGTCGAGTCTCCCTTGTCCACTCCCGACGAAGCGCCCGTTCGCAGTCCCCTTTGCGATGCCACTGGTAGTGACGTCCAAGATGAACAGCGACTACATGTGAACGGAATTCAGGGAATTTGCAGCGACTCGGACTTGGATCTCGTTGATCTGGACGAGGACTCCGCAGGAGCCGAGGAAGAACGGGAAGTCATCATCGTGGGCCACCTTGCGGACACGTCGCCGACTGACCGCTACGTCGTCCCGAACGCAATGGTAGAAGTTCTGGACTGTTGCGAATCGAATGCGTCGGTTGATCTGACGGCATCTCAGTTGCTGACGGTGCCGCCAGAGATTCGTGTCAACGGCGTTGAGGACATTTGCCCCGTCATCGAAGTCGAGTCTGACAAGAGTATGTCGCGTACAATAGATTGCCCAGAAAATGGCCCTCTGCGACGCCCTGAGCCACAGCAAGTGGACGAGCCAGCTACAGAAGTTGACGGTCACCGCACACCAGAGCTGGAGGGAGAAGTGAGCCTGAAAGATAAAATCAATTTCTTCAATTCGATGAGTTCCGGGGGAGGTTCCGTCGAACCGCCCGTACCCACTAGTAGACGTGGCCGCATGGTTTCGAGGATTCCGACCGCCTCAAGACTCCCTAGACCCAGCGCCAAGTTCGTAAAGAAAGAACCGTGCGCTCCGGCACATACTCCAGTACCGGCCAAGCGGTCCCGACTCGGCAAAAGAACTGCCCTGATACCGCAACCGAGTACCAGAAGCCATGCCCAGCAGAAGCAGCCTGGTACCAATGGCGCAGAAGCCGAGACGTGTCCCGTGAAGCCTTCGAGTGCCAAAATGAAGGCGGTTGTGAAGCCGGTTGTGCAAGCACCGATGGTACCCCTGGCTCAGGAATCCGTGGAAATCAGCGCGTCTGCCGCGCCAGAAGGTCCAGGACAGCTGAAGCGTTCTGGGACCTTCGTCCTCGATGACTCTGAGCCGATGCCGGAAGCCCAGCCGGAGTCCCCAGCTCCCAGGTGCGAAACAGAGTCCACTGCAACAGCCGCGAGGCTGAAAGACGATGGTGTCGAGTATCAAACGCTAGCGATCGTCGAAGACGTCGAGATGCGTGTGACGAACGACGAAATATCCACGGCGGTGTTTTCCGTGTGCTCCGTGCAAGTGCCCGTTGTGGATTCCACCGAGACGACCGAAGTGAGCGACGAGAACCTTGACATCTGCGTGTGTTGCCGTAAGTTGAACTCGTTTCTTTATGGCATTACATGTTCTTGATGGGTCCGGCTCCGACTGTGAGACTGCCTCTGTATTTGATGACGGCAGTTCTGCGTGTAATCTGTCGGGTTATGTACTTTGGCAAACAGAACATCAGACGGAGGTGCTTTTGCACCTCCGTCTGGTTACGTGAATGCCAGGGGGGGGGGGGGGGGGGGAAGAATTATAAATTACGCGTAGTCTGAGTTGCGGATCTCTCCAACTGTAAGTGTCTGGTACCATGGCGCCGAAGCTAAACGGCACGGTATTCATCGTGAGTTCTTTTTATATTCATAGTGCAGAGAATTTCGGTTCCGTCGGACATTGACTTGTAAGTCACGTCGACTTTTTCGATCTTACCAGCTTTTCAAAGCTAAGTTTTTTTGTTTTTTTTTTTCGTGTGTGTGTGTGTGTGTGTGTGTGTGTGTGTGTGTTTTGTTTTTTTTTTAGGCGATTGCTTTGTGAACGGTGACGGCTTATCTCTGTGCTCCGGTTTCCGGGATCGCTGCATCTCGAAAAGAGCTGGGACCCTAACAACAAGACATTGGGCGGCCTTTGTATCGGCTCCGCTCCAACGTTCTTTTCATTCGCGCGTGCTCGGCCATCGCAAAAGGGCGAGTTCCGTAGACTTCATTCTAAGAAAAAAAAAAAAAAAAAAGTAGCTCGGGGAGGAATAGTTTGCGGTCTTTTTTGTGTTGTAGTGTACCCGGGACATTGTTCTTTTAGCACGTCAGGCTGTCTTTGTCTAGATGCCTTCGCTTTGTTCTCGGCTTGTTAACGGCGGTTTTCGTTTGGCTTCGGGAGTTCGATACGTCGTCAGACAGCGTGGGTGTTTGAACTGCAGTGAGCCCACTTTATTATTATTATTTGTCCGTTTGTTTTGGTCGGGTTACGAGCGGAACTGGCTTGTCTCGGATCATCGGAGGTCCTTCCGGTTTGACGTGGTTGGAAACCTTTTGAGGCCTCAAACAACGCGTATACTCTTTTGTGTGTGTGTGTGACCCTTGTCACGTCGTGATGTTGTCGTTCCTCAGTTGTTGAGCCCGAAACTTGTCTCTATGTAGCTGCGTGTGTCCGCCTTGTCACCAGCGCTCTGCGTGTTGGCTTGTCTTGGCTCTCTATTGAATTTTTCGACTTGGCTACTGACCATTCCGATACTCGCCCTTTGCGCGCCGACATCTTTGTCTACTGGGCCGTGAAACGCGTTCTGAACATGCGCTGTGGCTCTTTTCTGAGGTTCATCAGACGCCACGCGCGCGTCTACAGCCCAATGACTTGGCATTTTTTTCCACCGTGTGATGAGCGCTGGAAAGGTCTGCAAGGGCCCCTGTTACCCAGACGAAACTAGCGGTATAGCCCTTGGTGACATTCTGATATCATATTTACTTGACCGTACTCCTTTGCTTGCTTGGTTTTGGCCATCATCTTGCTAAAACTTGTACTATCAGGATCAACATTATCTCAATTTATTTGAGTGCGAAGTATGGGACTTTAACTCGTCATTCCATTCCTAGTTTGGACCACAGCTGTCTCAAAAACTGGCAGGTACGCCAACAAATTTGCTCCGTTTCAGCTCATATTGAACTCGATATAGTGCCTGGATGGCTGCCCGGTCGCGTTCGGCCGTTGGCCATCGCATGTGTATAAAGACATGCAACGAGCTTCGGCGCACACCGAAGTCTAGAGGGCCGAGCCGAGTTGGCAAGCCGTTGGCCAACCGTGAAGAGAAGGCTTGTCGGCAGACCGCAGGAGAGCTCGTAACAAAAGAAGCGGTCCAATAAAATCCCAGCGGCCAGTTCTCGCCACTCGGGCTTCGTGACTGTGGATTCTGCGGCGATGTTTGTTCGGCTTTTTCACGCTTGAGTCGTCGGTTAGGCGAAGGAGGGAGGCGAGGGAGACAAAAGAAAGGACGTTTCGGCTCTCGAGATCGTTCTCTCGCTCTCCGAGTGGGGTTGTTGACCCTTTCGACGTATTCTAAACAAACGTCGAAAAAGAAATGGGGGAGGAGGTTACCGTTCGTGGACTTTGTCCCATGGGGTCTTAAATGAAAGGTCGCGCTGTTCAGTCGTGGGGCTCTTGGGTCGCTCTTTAATTGTATCATGCGTAAACTTTTTTTTTTTTTTTTTTTTTTTTGGGGGGGGGGGGGGGGTTATTATAGCGGGGTTGGTTAATGATAATTCTGCTGTGTGACGCACGGTGGCGCTCTTGGACATACTTATAGCCACTTAAAGGTAATATGCCCGCATGGCGGCTTGTGTATGGTCCAGCGAAAACCGTGGACTAGTGTGCCGAGCAGTTGATAGAGGTCACGTCGGTCTCAGCGAGTCTAAAGTTTTGGTGAACGCAGTTCTCGTTGTGTTTTTACAGCTCGGTGCGTTTAATGGTTGCCCTCTGCGTGAGCCTTCTAGGCTGGTTCACACATTCGCTTTTGAGTGTGGCCGAGATCGCTGTGACCGCTCACGACGAGATGAAAAGGCTGGCGCCATCTGTGAGGTATTCTTGGAACAACTCCGATCTGCTTATTACTAGAGTTTTTGTTGTGTTTACGAGATCAAATCTACGCACTGTCTATGAGAAATGGTCGCTTTTTTAACATTGTCAGAATTACTTCGGACCTACGGTGAAATGGTGACGCGTAAAAATAATTCTCAAACATAAACGCGGTTGGCATATGTGTCCCAGGGCTCCCGATAGATGGCGCCAGTGTGGGTGTGAGCCAGTCGCGCGGATTACAACTTCCGGTTGTGAAAGATGGTAGATGAATGCTTGCGCTGAGCGGCGATATGGGATTCTTTGCCGTTCTCCATAAAATTGGAATCTAATCAGAAATTATAGTCGGTCACAGGTTAAGAGTAAGGTGGAAGTTCGGTAGAGCCCTGCATATATCCGCAGTCAACTGGTGAATGCGGATAAAAATGAATCGGATTTGGCGGGTCGGATGCGGATATCCGTGGGTCCGGATCTACGAGTTTGTCGAACCGAACCATAAACGTGTGCAACCGCAGAGTGTAAACTGAATAGGTGAGTGATACGGAAACTTGCGCCAGGACGAGCTCCCGTACTTCACTCATTGTAGCACAGATCGAGCATGCCATCCCAGCATCAAGTGCGCCAGCAGAAAGAGACTTGTCATTAGCGGGTCTTAATTTAAGAGAGGCGAACCAGTCTGAATCCGACCACGCTGACGATATTGTTCCTTCTAGACAGCAGCCTCGGCAAACAAAACGTTGCATGTCTGTTCGCTTTTTTTTTTTTTTTAATGGATGTGGTTTTAAGCTTGCAGTTGAGGGTTCGTGTTGTCATTACTGAATATTGTGATATTTTCGCCAAGGTGACTCGCGCCTTACCACATGTATACGAGTACTTTGCTTATTTATTCAATCTACCCTTCAGCGCCCAAAGGCATTACAGAAAAAAAAGGGGGGGGGGGATATACAGCGAAAGAAAAACAGTAAACGAACTCTAGGTTTGTGACAATGTTTGCTAGTGGCAAGAACAAGAAGAATAGTAAGCTTTATACAATTATTAACACATTTGACATATCAGGAGATAAGGTACAAGCACTCTTCAATAAATATGAAAAAAACAACATTGTTGTATGATACCATGACAAGCGACTCGGGTAGACAGTTCCATTGATGAATGGTAAGAGGAAAGAGTGTTTAAGGAATATTAGTGCGGCACGAATATTCGCGAATCTTATTCTGATGATCTACCATTCGTGATATGAAGTGAGGTAGCTGAAGAAACGATCCCCTGTTGATTCCCGTTTTGTTATTATAAATGGTAGGAAAGAGTTTTAAACGTAAAGCGAATCTTCGGCATTTTAGCGGCTGCCAACCAAGACAGTCTTTTAGGAGACTCGACCTTACAGTATAATCATAATTTTCGGTCACGAATCTCGCTGCTCTGTTCTGAACCCTTTCAAGGTCGTCACCAAGATTCCGTATCCGGGGATCCCAGAGTACACAAGCATACTCAAGAATGGGCCTTGTATTTGTCAAATACAATGTCCCTTTAACTTTGGGAGGGTGATTTCTAAAATTGCGTAAAAAAAAAAAGAAAAAAGAAATATATATATATATATATACAACATACCAGTCGCTTCAGCGGTTATTTTGTTAATATCGGACTGCCAAGATAACCGTTCTGCCATGATTATCCTAAGATATTTTACCTCTGGAGTTACGGTCAGCGTAGTACCATTTAGGCAGTACGAGGCTGCGGTGAGTAACCGCCTTTCCTCTCCCACTTTTTTGTTATTCGTTCTTTGGCCGAAATAAGAAGACGCCATGTTCTTTTTATGTTCAGAAAACAGGCGTCTGCTTGAAATGAATTTTCCAAAGCAAAAATAAATTAAACTTTATTTCCTTTTGAGCGGATCTTCTGGGTTGTGTCGCGGACTCCTAAGACGATCTCGTCACTGCGAAACAATACGGAGAGAGCTATTCGAAGCGTACGATAGAAGGCTGGCAGGAGAGCAAGGCTGCGTAAGTGCAGCGTCGGTGCACATTACCGATAATGCGGCGGTGCCCATAAATAATTGCTCGTTTTCGATGAAACTTTTCAGTTGTAAGTAGAACTGTCTCGTCTTCCTTGTCCCCGGTTTTCTGCGGCGCTTTCGTCTGAATGGCCGTTGATCTCTCACGGAGGTCAGGTGGTTTGTGCCTGCTTGCGTGCGAGCGTACGTCAGTGGTTTGGCTTCGTTCGGCCACGGGACCGGCCAATTACCGGGGTTTATGAAAGTGCCTCCCTCTCGGTCGGGTGGGTATTTATAAGCGCGCCTGCCTCGCGCTGAAAGGGACCAGAATAGATACGGAACACTTTTTCTCTCTCTCTCTCTCGTTTTGTTGTTATCGTTTTCGAAAAACGTCCTCGAGTTAGAAGGGGGGAAAAAATGCAAAAAAAAAAAAAAAAGGACACTGTACACGTAGCGTCGTCAACCTTGAGATACTGCAGAGGAAAAAGTCCTTGGGGAAAGTCGACGAACCCGCGGGTCGTTTGGGCGGCGGTTGCAAGACTCCGAGACCCATGGCGCTGCATTATTGTCCTCAGTAGTAGTATAAAAGAAATACAACTACTATTACCTGTTTAGATTGTGATACTGGTATTTGTGCGTTCTCTTCCGATCCCTGTATGTTTGTTTGTTCACAGGTTTGGTGATATGAATGGGTGTTATCGGTAAATATCGTTTCGCCGAATATGCTTTTTTTTGTGTGTGTGTTTGTTTTGCCGTATTTTTGCGGTGCATTGGCTTCTTTTCGGGGCCGGCTTGCTACTGGAAACAAAGTTGTCAGGCGATCGGTCGTTAGTCTCTGCGGTCTCTGCAACCATTTCTCGTTCGCCTGTTCTGCATCGCAGTCTTTGGCTTCGAACGTTTTTATTTTTTTTTTTCCTAATTTTTTTTTTTTTATCCATTTGGAAGTTTTGGACGAAAGAACGATCACTCAGTGCTTTGTTTTGTAACGCTGTCACGAACCTGGCTAAAAACGAACGTGGGAGAACGGACTGTACGCGAAACACGAAGTTCTCTGACCGTTCAGAAGTTTCACAGAAACCGTAAGCTTGAACGACACGGTTAGAAGAACAAACAAGTGTGAATGAGGTAGAACCGAGTGCGCATGCGTAGATCCTATCGCGCTTTCTGCTGGCTGTCGCGTCACGCCCACGTGGTTTCAGACGGGAGGCACTCACTTGATCGAATGACGTTTTAGCGAACGCCCACGTTTCATCGAATGACACTTTAGCGAAGAGTCGGACGCCGCGAAGCGGCGTTTTCGGGTGGGCCAAGTGAGTTCATATTTTTGTAATGAGTTGCCGCAGACTGTCGCCGCGAAGCGGCGTAAAGCGCAGCGCGACGGATGGGTTAACGCGCGCCCCCGTTATTCGCTAAAACGACCATTCGCTCAAATGTCGCCGTTCGCTAAAATGTCATTCGCTCTTGTGATATGGACCCGTGCGGCGTCAGCGTTCGGCAGGGGATCGCGTCCAATCAACGCGTCGAAGGACGCGACGACGTCACGGGGAAGTAGAGGAGACCGTTCGCAAGCTGACAAGCGCCGTGACGATGCACTTTCGACGCTCCGTCGGATCGCCTAACGTCGGCTGCTTTCGGACTTCGTGTGAAACGGAGTTCGTAGTGCGTGACTGAAATGGTCGACCGTCCGTCCCTTCTTGCGCACTTGAGTGTACGTGCGCGCGCGCGTAGCAAAACTTTATTACCGCGCCCGGCCGTGTCGCAAGCACATTGCGTCCACCCAATGTGCACGTTTTCGGCCGTTGCTGTTGCCAGTCGTGCGAGATGCGTTTCCCTGCTCGCGGTCGCGCAAACACTTCCCTCGCCCTCAAGGTCAGTCTTGCATCCCCGGGCCACAAGGCCGCGGAGGAGCATTTCTCGACGTCACCTTCCGAGGTCCAGCGCGAGGCGCAGGTTGGACAGATAGCACCACCTCTTAGCATTTTCGTGTCCGCGAATGGGGATGTAGCCTCGATGACGTCATCGTGACGATCGTGATTTCACTCGGTGACGTCGAGCGATGCAATGACGTCACGCCTCCGGGACGTGGTCACGTGACCTAAGTTTGCGCGACTACGTGTGTTCCTGGTTGTCACGTGACACGCGCGAGATGTTTTGGTGGCGCCACCTCGCGGGCTCTCTCCTGTGACGGAGCGGGTAGGATGCGAGAGGACGACGCGCTATGTAATAGCACAGAGTGGCCATGTTAGTTCACATCTATGCCAATTAAAAACGGTTTATTTATTAAAGAAATGCGTAAGACGTTTTTTGTGAGTAATCTTTCAAATGACTAACAACGCCTAGAAATTGCTTTTTATATTAAAAAGAAAACAATTAACTTTGGAACGTTCAAGAACAAGCCTGGAGCTTCACATTACAGCCTGCATAGCATGGGTCAGGGCTATTCACTGCCTCTTAGATTAGTGTTTTCGGATCTGTGGAGGCAGGCACCCCTGTAGTAAATCCCAGCGAGATCAGTTAAGATACCGATTTATGCGGTCAGTTTAAAGTGCCTTAATCCATTTTGCCCACGCTGTAGACCTAACAGAATTCAATCGCAAGGAATATCCTACGTTTTGTGTCGACCGCATGAATAAGCAGGGATTTAATTGAAACGATTCCAAAAGCCAGCCACCGCTTTTTCCTGCTAGTTATTTTGAGGAAATGTTTGTTGAATGGTTTACACTATTAAAAAAGGAATCAACTTGGAACTAGTCAAAGTCCAGCCCTCGCATAACACATTGGAACCAACAGGATACATAAAGTCGCTTCCACTGAATTGTTCACTAAGACACGCAAGAGGCTCTCGATTTTCGTTTTCCTATTTTCAGTTTTGTGAGACATTCTTTTCTCAATTTTCTTTTGCCCGAATCGTGATTGCAAAATACACCCTATTTGCTGCGGCAGTTGTTGTAGTGGGGTAAAGCGCTGAAGAAAACGGCACACCACCATCCCAGCACTTCGACACCTCAGTGCCAGTTTGTAAACACGACTACGCATGCCACGTTTTCAAGCTTTAGCGAAATGTCCTGCCACATATATCACTTCACCAAATAAACACAAGAAGTGAGCTGACGAGATGAGGAATTCAAGGTCTGTGCGGTCTGTCCTGAGAAGGTTTAAATGTCACACTCCCCTTCATTCGTTAATTTGGTCACTTCAACCCACATGCTCATTGTGTTCACCATGCTGAACCATTTTCCTATGATGTAACCAGTCCACTTGTAGGTTTATTGGCTCAATTCACTGATCAGTTCATTGGTTGGCTCGGATATGATGTTAAAATTAATTCCTTCATTTTATTAATCAGCCATATATATATACAATTTTATTAATCAATGTATATATATATATATATATATATATATATATATATATATATATATATATATATATATATATATATATATATATATTAGTTCATTTGTGGATTCAGTTAGTTACGTTAGTGGTGCTATAAATACTGTCATTGCCATTAGTGTCATTGTATTTGCACCGATTGGTGCTCGTGTACTCCTGGCCTTTCAATTTCCTCAATCATGAGCATCTTTCCTCATTTGCTCGCCTTTTCATTTGGGCTAGATCTGTAACCTTGAACTCCGCAGCTCTTTTCCTTTTGCATCACCTGCGAAGAGGAAACCACTTTTTTTTTTCCGTCCTAGAGGCAGTTACGCCCCACCCACAATTTAGCCATGATTGCAGACGGGTGTCTGGAGGAGAAAACAGCGGGATGTTGATTGTGAGGGACCAAGGTTTTTTTCCGGCGGCACCGCCTTTCGTTCTGGATGACCTTATGTTTTTTTTTTATTTTGTTTCAATGGATTCTTGAGTTTCTACCTTCCTTCCATTTGGTGCTTTATTCTGAGAATATTGTGACTGCCTGCGAATAAACGTTCAGACCCGCATCTACACACAGTATAATAATTTGTTATAACGTAAAGAAATGCAACCCACTATTGAATGAATAGGGCTTTCTTGGGTGCTATGCCGACATTCGGCATAAATATGGCCGCTGGTTGAGCTTCCGTGGGGAAGTGTTCTTGGTAACATGGTTTATGTTTAGGGTTGAAGCAATGTCTCCAACCGACACATTTTGTCTGATCCTAAGTAGTTGCTTCTCCAAGGTCGCTTCAACTGCAGTTTTGACGTAGAATCTAGATGGAATAACTTGTTCAACCAGAAACTCCAGGGGAAAAAAAAAATATAACATCTCCTAACAAGCTGTGGCAGTCATTCTCTGCCATCCTAGAGCAATTTAAGTAGAGGCCAGCTGTGATAACTTATGGAGGGTCCAGTGAAACCTTTTCATTGTAAAGCCCATTTAAAAAGAAATTCCTGCACGACTGTTTTTACCGTATGGGTAAACAAAATTTATGCAGCAGCATTACTACAACCTCACAAGCACCTTCCTTTGCAGTGAAGTTGCTGCAGTAGTCTCCTAAAATTCTAAAATCTAAGTTCCTGAGCTTTGGGCGCAATGTCGGGAAGCTAGGGTGGTAGCGCTCGCTCTGTCACAGCTTGTTTCAAGATTTTATTTTTCTGGGGGACGGAAAAGTGTTTCCTGCGATTTCCGGTGAAGATTCAGACACCTGGCAACAATGATTATTGGCACCAACATGGCTGAAGTGTAGTTGCGCCAAAGCGCATCTTATTAAATGCCTCTAGGCTTAACCACGCAGCGGCCCTCGTGCGAGTGATCTGTGCCGTCTGCCGACGTTGGGCCGGCCACAAAGTGCCCGTTTTCCGCGTTCCCAGGAGAAGCCAAGAAGGGTGCCCCCGGCTCGGCAGCCCGAGGTGCTTCGTCGCCAGTGTCAGGATACCGGTCCAAGGTCGGCTCCGGGCCAGCCGGCCATGTGCCGAGCCAAGCCGAGTTCACCAAAGAGATCCAGCGGCTGGGAGCGTTGTGCGAGTCGCGCACCAAGGAGCTCAACCTGCTCAAGCTGCAGCTACGCCATGCCTCCACCGGGTTCACGTCGTTTGGCATCGTCATCCAACATCTGTCCGAAGTGCAGGTGAGCACAACGTTGCTGGAGGGACCATGAAGCAAAATTGAGTGTTTTTTTAATGGTGCTCGGCATAGTCATCCGGGGAACCGTGAAACACTTGAGATGAAAATTTTAATGTATTTTGCGTGATGTGACCAGGGCATGTTGAAACCTGAGCTTGCTTGTCCTAATACTTTGTACTGAGTAGTATAGGATAGTAGAATAAGGGATGACCCACCACAGAGCGCTCATTTTCCTTTAACTCGTCAGTAGTGTTTTTAGCCTGTTTATTCTATACAATGGATCACCAACTTGCCCAAGTACATACCCTTCGTGTACTGAGTATAATCTTGTACATAAATGGAGACCGCTGAGAATGAATTGTTCCAATGGTGTGTCCCATTGAAACACATATCGCCTTAATTTTTCTAGGCTGGATTAACATTTACCTTGCAGTTCGAAATCGAGGAGCGTCGTTTTGGGGTGGCAAAATGGAAATTTGCCACTATTTGATGCTCACAAAATCATTTGTGTTGACATTACCCCAACCTAGATGTCACCTTACTTGCTTCAAGAGGGGGAAAGTGTCTCTTTAGTTTTCTCCCGTGGGGATATGTGGAGCAGACATGACTGCATTTGCATGACTGCGACCGTAGTGCACTGAATCGAGTAAAAACCACTCAAATGCATCCAGCCCCCCTGCTCCTTCCTCTTGCAGCCAATCGGTGCTGAAATCGTGATTTAATGTGCTATGGTTACATCAGGGTTCTCCCCAGAAATTCTTCAGATCTGGACGTTTGGCAATTTCCAGGGTGCCGAGGGGAGGAGAAGAGGCAATTACTGAAACTTTTGTTGTTCTGTACAATTTCTCTGCCACACACCGGTGGTTTTGTTGCAGGAATTACCGTATTTGCTTGAGTAATAGCCACACTTCTTATGAACAAAGCCCGTGGGTCTGCTTTCTAATGAAGCATGGGGATAGCGGATCACCGTAATCGGCAGAAAAATGGCAGCTATTTACGGGACAGAGATAGTGTCTTCACGCAGAAATGCTATCTGCTCAGATCACCTTTTTTGAAGAACAGTGTTCTCGACCTCGTTACTCGCAGCGCTTTTTATGCGTAGTGCAATGACTGGTTGTATGTGCGTTCAGGAAAGTAGGCACAAGGTCCTTGTTCACAAGAGGTGCAGCTATTACTCGAGCAAATACGGTATGCAGTTTTGTTGCATGGTGCCACACAGGCCTGCAAAGTGCAACAATCTTGGGCGTCATGCATTTTCAAAATCGGCATCACTTTCTTTAGTGGGGGAAAAACATAGAGGTGGATTGGACAGAGTACGGGTGGACAGTCAGTGAGACTGGTGGGTAACAAAATCACTGCCACCCACTGCGGGGAGAACCCTGGGTCATGTCCATGGACCTGCACACAGTGTGACCGCTGCGAGTGCTTTCCAGTGCCGCTTCAGTGTAGCCGAATATCTTTTTAATGTTTCATACGCAGCAGCACGACTCCTTCACCATTCCAAAACTCTCGGAGGAGCTCCGGAAGTCCCGGCTGGAGATTGAGCAGGCCCGTGCAGCTATTGGTGAGTGTTTCCTTTCTCTTTTGTTCAGGTGTTCCTTGGCATATTAGTGTGCTGAACTTGTTTGCACCATACCCCCTTGCGCCCGACTCCCTCACACTGAATTCAGACAACCCCTTTCATGCTGAACCCCAAAGACTCGTCTCCGTTTTTGACCTCCTTTTTTTTCTTCCACAGAACAATACAAGGTGGACATTGAGGAGATGAAGTGCCACCAGGAGGAGAGGATAGAGGCGATGAAAGGGGAGCTGGCAACCAGCCACACTGCTAAGCTCAAAGAATGTGAGACCCCATTCGCAGCTAACCGTAAACTGAGCATTACTTGGGTGGATCGGTAAAAAAAATATATAGGTGCCTAAATGTGGCAGAAATTTTATTGTCTATTCAATTTATGTTTCTCGTATCTTGCGTGTCACTATAGTATGTCACTTGCCTCCTCTCCAGCTTTCGCTCTGCTAAAGTTAGTGAAAGCTTTGTGGGAGGAACCTATCCTGCTATTCTTAGGTTACAACAGACTATACAGTGCAGATTTAATGGGCATTCACAAAGTGTCTTCCAAAAAAACATTACAGGGTTTTTTCTTTTGTTGTAAAAATAAGTTATGCATTGCCGAACGCTCATTCTCTGCACAAATGTAGAGGTGGTCTGAACCAGATACCAAAGTTTCAGAACTAACAATTATCTTGTTCAAGTCGTAAGTGGTTTCCTGAAATTTTCAATGGGAAAATGGTAGTCGACGGAGCTCCCGAATACTTGGAGCTGAATGACGCTAGTTACCAAGAACGAGCGAAAATGGGCCCTATTTTTCCATTGGAATATTAAAGGGCACTAAAGGGGGTGCCCTTTAGTTTTCCAATATTCCTTGGGCGCCATGGTCGGAGTTTGTCCAGGGCGCTTGATGGTGTAGGGCCGTCGCTGCCTCCACTGTGTTTTCTCTACTTCTGTGTACTACTGCAGTGAGAAGTCTTGGACAATACTTTGTGTTTAGGTTATGCCAGTACAAATGAGACTTGGATAAGTGCCAGCTTTCATGAACTACACTGTGCAGGTTGGAAGTCCTACTTTTGGGTGCAAGACTTTTGCTCGCCTCTTCCTGAAACTTGTTACTGGTGTGACATTTGTTTTTCCAAAAGTTGACCAAAAGTCTGACAGACCTATACTTTATTCTTTCTTTTTTTCAGTGGAAGAAGCCCACAAGAATGAGCTGGCCTGCTATCTGGAGTGCCACACCAAGAAGGTAAGACGTTTAAGTTCAGTGGAGCGGCAGAGGCATTCAGCTTGAATCAACGTTTTCTGTGATCTCTTTTTCAAGTCCACGAAACAGAAGCCTCAGTCTCAAATTACTTACCAACGGAGTGCAGCTATACATATTGGCTGCATATTGTCTCTTGCTCTTGTCAAGTTCAACCTCTTTCAAAAAAAAAAAAAAATTAAAATCTTACCGCTTTTTTTTTTGCAGTTTCTTTTTTTTTTTTTTGTTTAGTGAAATTTGCTTTTTAAGTACACATCATGGTGAACTGAGTGAACCGAGCGATATTTCGCAGACCTCGTAACAATATTGTTTAAAGCTAGCGTAAATGGGGCTTTGTCTGCATGTCTGGGGTAATTCAACTCTGCACATTTTAGTCTCTATAGTTTGTGATATATTACCATGTCCCACTTTCACATTATATATTCTACTACACACTACCTTTCGAGGTAAATAACACTGAACCCAACTCGTACAAGCATAAACAATAAAATTATTATTATTATTATTTTTTTCTGCAGATTGAGGAACTGAAGTCCCTGTACACCGACATCATCGAAGGGGATCGCAAAAGTCACCTGGAAACCATGGACTCACTCAAGCAGAGGCACCGTGAGAAGATAGATGGTAAAGGTCGCCTTAGTGTCTAAATATAATTGTGCATTTTTAGACAGTAGGAAGTCAGTTAGCCCCGTTGGGGCGTCAGCGTCTCTCCGCTGTTGACGAGAAACTTGGTCAGTGCAATACGGCTGCTGACTCGGGGTCTCTAACGTGCATCACGCAGTAGTGATTACACGAACACACACTGGCACGACGTTCATCCAGATCGAAGCAGGCAGGGGCAGAGATTTAAGCCAGGATCATTGGGTTCTGCAGCACGAGCGTTCGCTCCATGGGCTCAGAGCTGCAGTGCGTTAACGGCCACTGATTCCCCTTTACTCCTGCTCTGTCGGCTCGACTGGTATGTGGTCTCTTTGTATTGTTGCATCAATGGGGCCTTCTCTGAGCAACAGCACGACGTAAAAGAGACTGCCAGCATGCCGATGCAAATTTCTGCTCGGAAACAAGTTTTGGGGGAACCTGGAGATTCAGCCCAAACCACTTTGTCTCTAAGCACATGCACCAAGACTAACTTCCTCCCTCGTCATCCTTGCATCCTTAAATGGACTGCTCCTGTGTACAAAAAGTCTTGAACCTGCTCTGTTCCCCAGGTCAAAGTCAATACTTCCCTTTAAACCCGAGCGTATCGGGTTTCAGTCGGGGTAAGGGACTGTGATGTGAAGGCCACAGCTCTTTCCCTCCTGTCGGGTTGGACCTGAAGCAAGACTACTCCTGATCCGTGTGAAGACTCATCCGCTGAGGATATTCTGCAATGCGACGGATTCTAGTGAGCCGTGCAACGCTCTGAGCACGGTAGATCCCCGACACTTTGCAGAGCGGGGACCCCATGTCCACTCCGACGTTTCCGAAGCAGATCTCTGAGCGGCGCTATAATTTGTACCAAGTTCAGAAAAAACCCTGCCAGATGGTGTGCCATTCCAAGGATCCGACGGACTACGGCAGTGTTTTCCAGAGCTGGGAGATCTCCGAGGGCCTTAACCTTTGTAGGGTCCGGTCGAACGCCATGGCAAGATATAATACATCCGAGGAAGGTAACTTCTCCTATGCTAAAAACACACTGGGCTTTGTTGAGGGTGACTTCAGCCTGTTCTGGGTGCTCACGAGTCTGGTGCAGGCTTGCATCGTGCTCAGCATGGTCCTTGCCGAAGACAGGTTCATCATCCATGAGGTTCAGAACCGCGGCCAGCCCACTCTAGATCTCCGACATGCATTTTTGGAAGTATTCCGGAGCTGATGTTATCCCAAAAGGTAGTTGTGCTAAGCAAGAACGGCCAATTAGGTTGAGCAACATGGTCAACTCTTGGCATGGGCGAGAGAAACTGATTTGATGGAGCCCGGAATTGGCATCCAACTTCGGAAACACTGCCACCGCCCAAAACTAGCCAAGCGTGTCTTCCACAGTTGGAAGGACGTGGTGCTCTCGTAGGACGGTGAGGTGGAGGCAAGTGAAGTCTATGCAGATCCTCACGTTTCCGAAAGGTTTCAGGATAGGCATGATTTTCTCGCACACCAGGCAGTCGGACCTCCAACTGGACGAATGACCCCCAGATCCATCTTTCTGAGCTCCTGAACGACTGCGTCCCTCAAAGGAGCGGGCATGCGACGTGTGACGCTTGGCAAGTAATGCAGTGCCGCTGCGTCTAGACGGATGGTGCACTCCTGGGGCGGTTTGCTCATCTTACGGCCGCGGCTGCAGCCAAGAGGGATTTTTATGTCACAAGACCAGCCCCACGGGGACAAGGAAGTACCTAGCATCCCTGTCTAATGGCAGAGAAATCCGTGTCGCTTCGAATACAAAAGTCTGATTTCGCTCGCAGAAAATGACTGCAGACGCTTTCAACCGGAGTCCAATTAACCGCCCCTTTATACTTTAGGAGCGGCAGGTAAAGTTACGGCCAGAGAAGGTAAATATAAGCCAAAATGAAGAAACAATCACGCAAGATATGAACGGTGCCAGTATATTTATATAACCGCACCAGTGCTGAACACTCGATTTTGCTGTAGTCTAGAGGTAAGAGCGCCAGGACTTGTCGTCGCGACGTCTAAGTTTCGGGTTCAAAGCGCACCAGAAACTTCTTTGATGATTTTTTTTTTTTTTTTTGCCTATTTTGTGGAAGTTTTTTTTTTTTTTTTTCTTAATAGACACAACTGCAGTGTGTATTAGTACTAAATAGGCGTCTCCTCTTATTGAAAAGAGTCGTAGCAAGAGTGTCGTAGCAAGAAATCAAACGTTTGCACTCGAAGCGGCACGAATTTCTCAGCCATGAGGCAGGGGACACTTAGTACTTTTTGTCCCTATAAGGCTGGTCACGTGACGTAAAAATCCCTCTTGGCCGCAGCTGTGGCCGCGGCCGCGAGATTAGCAAACCGCTCCTGGAAGTGTCCCAAGGCCGTTAAGAGTCGAGCGAAGCGCTCTTCAAGGCTTTCGGTACTCCAGAGAAACTTGACGAGTCCCAAGTCCTTTATGGCAGGCAATCCCAGAAGGGCGAAGCGAAGTTGTCGTACAACAGAAACCTCCTATCTTGTGGGCTTGTCCTTCTATGTCATGATAACATCTGACCTCCCCAACACCTTCAGGGCATGTCCACCGGGCGCCATAAGGACCTCTTCTGCTGAGCGCAGCCCAGAGGACGATATTCCTGAAAATGTATCTGAGACTGCCGAGACCTCCGCACCAGCGTTGACCTTCGCAGTCAGTGAAACGTTCGGTTTTCATTGTAAACTCGGCGCCTTGCCGTCTACCAAACTCTGACGGCACCGAAAAAAAGCCGTTGGTGTTGGATTCCATTTATGTAAAGAAATGCATTTAGTTCCTCCAGGCATCTTCTTGCAGACACGTGCGTAATGACCCTTGCTCTTGCATCGAGAGCACTTTCCGGCTCGCGCCGGGCACTTTGAATGAGCGTGACGCAATACCCCACAGTAACTGCACGTGGAGCTCGGTTGTTTTGCTTGTGAGGATCGCTTCGCATTTGAAGACGATAGATTGCTGCGAGGCTTAGATGATGAGCCTTTACCACGCGCCGCTGCGTCCAAGTCTGCGTTTGTCGAGGCTTCGCAAGCGTTGAAGTTGGTGAGCGCAGCGTCTAACTGAAGAGCTTCTGAGGGAGACTCACGCTTCGCATTTGAAGACGATAGATTGCTGCGAGGCTTAGATGATGAGCCTTTACCACGCGCCGCTGCGTCCAAGTCTGCGTTTGTCGAGGCTTCGCAAGCGTTGAAGTTGGTGAGCGCAGCGTCTAACTGAAGAGCTTCTGAGGGAGACTCACGGCCCAAGAACGAAGTGATCACAAATAGGGTGGTCACTCGGGCTTCCGTAGTCGCATCGGTCCGCCATGTTGTAGAGCACTGTTACATATTGGTCCACTGTTTCAGTGAGCTCCTGCTCCCCGTATACTACGTTCCTGACTAACCCGAAGGTGTCAAAAATTTGCCTAGCCTGGCGACCCATGAGGCAGAGAAGCGTTCGTACTTGGGCTTCCTCGTTCTGCAAGACCAGTACGATTGTATGACGGGAATGGACAAACCCCACGATTGATGCTGGCACTCCGAATGCGTTCCCAAAAGTTGGGGGGGTTCGGGCGGCCCGAGGGCAAGTCTGGCGGCGGCGCTTGCCCGAGCCACGACTCTGTGCGGTCTGCAACCACAAGGCAACGCCCGAAGCTTCAGAAACGGCGGCATCTCACTCTGACGCACTGTCCCGGTGCTCAGTGGCACCAGAGAGAAATACGACAGACTCCGTGTCACGGCAAACCAAAAAGGAAGTTTTATTTCCCATGTCCCCGCTCTATCACGGACCCCACTGCAGGCGCCACGTTGCGCGTGCCTCGCTCGTAGAAAGCGGGAAGTTCGATGGAGGCTCCCGCCACGAGCACCTTTGCCAAATGGCTTCACAATGCGAGAGTTTGCCTTTCGAGCTGCTTCACTTGAGCTTCCCCGCTCGAGCTTTTCCACACTAATCTAAATGGACGGTTTCTACAAACGGTCCTCACTGTGGACCACATATGGCCCACACTCAATTCATTAACAACCGACACTAGTAGATGCAAGGCTGCAATTTTCTGGCCTAAAAGTTGTGAACAAGATATTAAGGAAAGCCATAAGTGTGCAGACCCAGTCGAGCCGTATTTTTGGCGACTTTTTTTGCTTTAGCCTCGACATCTTGTCTAAATGAATGTCAAAATAAATTTGATTTCGTTTGATTTGCAGCGATCAACGAGGAGTACACGATCGAGCTGGAGTCGATCAACCAGGACCATGCAGTGCGTCAGGCGGAGCTGGACTCCAAGCATGCCGAGCTGCTGCAGCAGTACAAGACGCTCCAGAACCAGGCCAAGGAGTTCCAGGAATCTGTGCTCCAGGACACGGACACCAAGATTCAGGTAATATCAAGGTCCGCCTCGCGCGGCTGTGCACCCTCGACGTTTTGAGCAGCCAATCCGACACAGACGGCCGAGTTAACCAAAGGTCAAGCGCGTGGCGCCCTTTTCCGACAAGCACAGCGAGCAGACGGCCATGTCGTCTGCTTTCTGCCGATTGCGTTGTCTGCTTGCTGGTTGGCTCTGTCATCTGCATCTGCCATTGATTGTGTGAGGGGTGTCGGTCTCGTTTTTCATCAAAAGGGAGCTACCGTATTTTCTGAACTGTTGTCCTCACCCAATGTGTAGTCTGCGGGGGCGAATTTGGGTTAAAAGTAGGTTTCCTTAGATCACCTGCACTTGATCGTAGCCTGCACGCACAAAATTCTCGTACAAAGCACACCTTGACAAATGCTTGCTTTATTAGATTGCAGAGGCGCTTGTCTTACATAAATCATCATGAACATAATTTGTCATTCACAAAATCTGCCATGTCTTGTCATAGTGAACGATTTAGAAAAATAAGTCCTTGCATAGTTCGCACCTCTAGAGTGTCCGTACCGCGTAAAATTTCAACTTTTAAACATGTATAGTCTGCAAGCCATGGTCCGAAAAATGATAAAAGTCATACAATTTTGTAAAGTGAAATCTACCGCTGACACACGTCTTCGACGAAAATTTGAGACTGCTACGTGCAGGCGCCGATTTTGCCGGCCGATTTAGGAGGGGGCCCGGATCGATGACATCCTATGGTAAATTCTCGCACAAATGCCCACCCAAAAAGAAGAGCTAATGGTGAGAAATATTGGGTGGGCGACCTCTGGGGATGCGCGGAGAAAAATAAGTGAGCGATGAACTCGCAGTGACATCTGCTACGAACCAGATGACACCGGAACTGATAGTGCAGATTGCGGACATAGAAAATTCACCTTCCACCGTGTGCTCAGCACGCAGGAACTAGCCGCAAATTCTCAATTGCAGGAGCTGGTACCGCAGATGATGGATGCGGCAGATTCGCATTTCACAGTGCGATAAATGTGCGGCAACCCACCACAAACCCTCGTACCGCAGGAACAGATGATGCGCGCGCGGATCGCAGAGACATGAAACTTTAGATTTTATGACGGGGTTGATACAATTCCCTTCGGACGTCCGACAAGAATCGGGGCAAGCAGAGTTTTAAAATTTTTAGCCCATGCATATTTAGCCGGAAAAAAACTTGAGATACACCTAAGCATGTCTTACGAGTTGTGAATGCGAAAGCATGCAAGCCGCTCGTCTGCTCCCTTTTTCGTCTGCTGCATACTTTTCATCGCCGGTCAGCACGCGTGCTCTCCTGGGCACGCGTTAACGGCGCGCTGATGGACACTCGGCGCCATGGGATGAGCGGTCGTGGAAACTGACAAGCGCAGCGGCCAATGGAAGCCCCTTTGATGCGTGCCAGCCAATGGAACCGAAGGCAAAATTCATCAGCTTTACTTCGCTCATTTGGGATCAGGGAAACTAGGCGCCATTTTCGCATTTCAAACTGATGTCGTCAGCTCGCTCCATGAGGCAGCTAATGAAAACAGGTTGGGCAATCTCTCGGGAAAGGGCATTCGTATGGGATTTTACCGCGTACGCAACAAACTGAGATTACTTCGAAGCTCTCCTTGGCGAAGAGGAGGAAAAAGTTTTGCAATTGGTTTGACGACGCCGACCCGGTCGCATCTCTTTCGCAGTGGCTGTCTAAGAAGAACAAGGACCTCGAGAAGGAGGTGGAGAGCCTCAACGTGGTGCTCGAGATGCGCTCGGACAAGATCCAGTCACTCCAGCACTGCAAGTTGGAGATGGAGAGGAAGGTGGGTGCCCCCGGGGTTACAATGCCCGGGACGAGATTCCGACTGGTTCGTGTACAGCGTCCTAATAACTTGATCTCGGCAGCATAACAGTCCGGCTTTTGAAGCGTCACTCGTTGCCACTTTGAGACCGCTTTTGGTGTGCCGACGAAACTGGACACTAAATGCGAGAGTCAGAGACTCGTTCCAGGCAACAACGTGCCGGAGCGACGCCCGCTCCGGGAGCGTCGGAACGCTAAGCTCTTGCGCTTCGGCGTCTGCCGCAGGGGGAAGAGCTGGAGCGGTGCAGAGTCAAGATGGAGAAGATGGAGGCCCGGATCGAAGACCTGCAAGAACTGCTCAACGAGAAAGTGAAGCTGCAGAGGTGAGATTGTCTACTCACCTCGTCGCCCGCGCGGTTGCCGCTGTCCGGCAATTCGGTTCTGCCGACGTTTTAGACGGACACGTTTATCTGTGCCGAGGTTTTTTTGTGTTGGGACGGAATGTAGTGGGACCGATACCAACTTGAACGAATGTTTGCAACTCAAAATCTCGCCTTTTGCTTATTTTGTCGGCATCGAAACTGTTGTTTGAGAGTCTGGCGTTCGGACTTGCTCTTTCTCCTTTCGCTCGCTTGCTTGTGTTCACATGCGGTGGCAATGCGAAAGCCGGTATATTTTCTGAATCTTAGAATGTCTAAGGCACGTGGTGTATTTAATTTGTGGGACGCAGTTTTTTTTTTACAATCACTGTAAGGCCAGAACTGCATTGGTTTTAAAAAAAGTGTGGTGGGTTGTCTCCAACTAGTGAACTGACCAAGGCGTGTGTGGAATTGTTTTTTTGTCTCTTCAGCCAACTGTCCGTGGAAAACGCGAAGCTGCGCGAGACGTCTGAGAAGCAGAACCGCAAGCTCTCCCGGCTGGACATGCGCAACGAGGAGCTCAGCTACAAGTTGCGAGAATCCGCAAATGTCTCCTACGTTCGCGGTAACTAACGTCTTGATCAGTATTTCGGGAAATCACCGGGACGGTTGCCTGCATGCACGCTTTCTTGGACCTCGTGATTTCAAAGCTACCAATAGAGACGTTGCCTTAGCGGCATTAGCAGGGACAAATTGATCTATGCAATGGTGCCGTCTGCCTTACCGGTTGTTAAGGGTTGGTCCAAAGGAAATACTAACGACCTGGATCGATTTCCTATTTGACAGGTTGCCGACAAACAGTAAGGAGAAAAACGTCGCTTACCCAAACCATGTAGTGTTAGATGTACAGTATCATGGAATTCCACTTCCTGTTTGATCCGTACAGAATTGACATCTTCCAGTAAGTAATTTGGAAGGTTGGTTCATTTCTAACTTAGTACTATACCAAGCTGATGTGGTCTATTCAGTCCTGAAGTGTATCCACTTCTAGAGTTGGGAAAAGCAGAACGAGTTCCTTTGGTGATGCCCTTCATCATTCCACTTTAGCAGAACGAACACTGGAGAGCAGGAAACCACTAATCACAGCGAACAGAGAGCTTTGTGGGCGGGACTTGTCCTGCTTTCCTTAACCTGCACCAGACTGTCAAGTGGTGTCAGTGTTCCGATAAAACTTTTCTTTCTAAGGTCGCTTCTTCCCTTGTTGTATTTTCTGTGCATGTGCCCCGAATCGACATCAGAGGGTAACCAGCCACGGTCCCGCAACAGCCCGCAGAAGCGGTTCTCGGTGACTGACCCGACCTCCATGTCCCAGTCCTGGCACGCGGACCGTTCCCGGCCCAGTGCCGGTCGTATTTCCACGTCGACGCCGCACGTCCACCTGCACTCGCAGACACTTCCACGCAGCCAGGCGACCCTCACCGACGAGTTTCCGGACAAGCGCAAGATCCGCCGGAGCATGTCAGAGTCTTCGCCTCCAGAAGACATCCAGATCCAACTCTTTGGAGCATGCTGCAATCGGACGGACGACTCAGTGGATGAAGAGGCGGCAGACGATGACGGCGGCAGCTGCTGCTACAGCGGTCCGAAGTGTTCCCAGGACGACTTGCTGAGGCTGACATGGGTGAAGGAAGACCCCGACCTTCAGAACGGCGCCGAGAGCCTCCACAGCCCGGAAGCGATGGGTTCGTCCTGACACAGCCTCCTGGGCACTCCGTCGACGCCGTTGCCGCGACGTTCTGCCGGAGAAGCCATGGCTCCCGAAGACGAGACGGCAACATCTGCTTCAACGCGGCGCTGATTTTTTTTTTAAGAAGTCACTGGTGCGTGTACTTAAGTCCGAGCCTTTCCGGAGCCCACTCCGTCGTCGGCGAGTAGTGCAGCGAGCCGAGCGGCGTCTGAAAAGTTTTGCCGCGTGCTAGGCAACGTCGGCGGCGGCGTCTGCAACAAGACGTCGTCTGCAGCGGGATGTCGTCTGCTACAGATTGTCATCTGCAACGTCCGCACACCGACATTGTTTGTAATGAGTAGTCTGCTAAACTTTGTTGTCTGCTACGTCGTCTACAAGGCAGCCTGCGAATGCCAACCGGTTTGCTTTTTGGTCTCCGAGCTGTGATGGACATCACCGCAAGCTACTAGTCAGACTGAATCTTGCTGGGTGTAAGTTCTGCGTTTCGCATCCGGCTTGGTCTACGAGACTTTTTTCGTGCTGCTAGATGGTCCGCCAACATTTCGCTTTTGTTCCTTTTTTTTTGGTATGTTGTGAGAGACTTTGCGGGACCAGGCTGTGGTCAGAGCCGAAGGTTACGTTTTTAGCTTTCTTTACTCGAATTTTTGTTTAACATTGTGTTTTTTTGTTTGTTTTTTTCTTTCTGTCTATAAATTATTTTTTCTCAATTCTACGTTAGAGTTGGGTGACAGTGATTTTCACTTTTTTTTGGCATGTGTTTGGATCCAAACTGGCACCAAACTTTCAACTTGTAGCCTGTTGTGGAAGTTTTTGTCTTTTTTTTTTTGTCTTTTGAAGATTTAGAGTTTATGAGCAATTGAGCTTTTATCACTTATTATAGTTAATTTTAACTTCAAATTATAGTAAGGGAAAAGTGAGCTGTGATAGTGACTATCAAGGCTTGGGTGTTTAAGTGGGGGTGCCAGTTTAATGTGGATGGTGGCAGGTGCCTCTCTGCAAAGTGTAAAGCTGTTTCCTTTCAAGGCTGCTTTTTCCTCCACTTTTTCATATTTTTAAAGAAAGTCCTGAGCTTAACAGTTGACAGGCGACGAGGTTTTATGTGGACGCGACTTGAGGCGTCTCCTCTGCAGCTAAAACGTAGCGGCATGCGCAGCTTCCCACATGAATAATGGTGCACCCAGTATTGTAAGCATGCCCCAGTTTGAATGATTTTTGTGCGATTTTCTTTTTTTGTTTTAGCTACTCACAAGGGTTTTGTATGTGTATACATGAAGATGGTTGCGTTTTAATTGAATGTGATTTATTGTGTTCTGTATTACTCTTGATTGTGTTGCAAGTGTACTTGAGGATAGTTGTCTTTTAATTGAAAATTAAAATATTGATGTTGCCATGGGCCTTCTTGTTCTCGAAAGGAGAGTTTAAAGCTTTCGGAAGCGGTTGAAGAAAAACAAGAAATTACCAATCTCGCTGTGCTTGGAGACACGCCGAACCCAAAGCTGCTGTCTTCGAATCCGTGCACATGACAATGCAATTGGATTTATCTGTAAGCAACTTCAACCTTGTGTACTTTATCCCATTCCTCTGAATTGCACTAGGACCGCCTGGCCTCGCCAGGTTTTGGTCTGCTTCGTATTCAGTATTGCCTACCGTAGTCCCTAAATTTGCCCATGATGCTTTAAAATGATGCGAGCGTTTTGACCTTTAATAGAAAACACGTAAAGGTTTTTTTGTTTTTTTTAACAATACTTTAAAGATAGTAACTACGGTATTTTAACCTCTGTGATATCGCTTCCATAAAACCTTCAATATAGTTGCTATTAGTAATATACGGTCCCCCGCGTTGGGTCCCCTGTCAAATGCAGCCATCGCAATTCAGTGACGTTCAATGCAGGGAATTTTCCCCTTTTCAAGGAATTTTCTGTCTCAATTTTGGTGAAAATGGAAAGGGGAATTTTAACGCAATTGCAGGGAATTTTAAGAACTGACGAGGGAATTCGAGAAAAACTAGAGAGATAACTAGATATGCGGAGTGCAAGCTTGTCTGCATTTAAAAGGTTAAAAAGCGCAACACAACAAGGACAATAAAGACACGAAGACGACAGGACGGGCGCTAACTCACAACTGATTTTATTAGAAACAACACTGTCACTTTTATACACGAGATCGTATGCCAAACCCACACTGCAACCAATCACCGCTCTCACAAGCAACTATCTAGAAACATTACTTCTTTCTGAAGCAAAAAGAGAGAAGGCGCGCTAACGCATTTGTCATCTTTCTTTTTGATATAAAACGCCTCTATAATCTCTCTCTGTCTTATCTTTTGATTTCTTTAAAAATTTTGTTTCAGCCAAAAGAGGCTTACAGTCAGCGCATCGCCTGCAGTGGTCTGCCAGGTGTCCCCCCGCGTTGTTCTGCACAGAAAGATTATGCTCGCGTGCCCTATCGTTAAAACAGCGCCCGGCTTGTCCAATATAAACTTTTCCACATCTTAATGGAATCTCATAGACAACATTGGTCACACATTCAGTGTACTGTACATTGCATTGCAGACAATGCAAACCTGCAAACCCCTGCCTGCAAACAATGCAGTGGTCTGCATTGTTTGCAGGGGATTGTGGGGAGTTAAGGACGCAGAGTTTGATTGGCTCGGATGGCAAGGATAGTGGGCAGAATGTCAAACTGAAATTTTTATTGGTTTGGTTCGGGTTCATGGATTTTGGTTCAGTCCTGGGGAGCGAAAAGTAATGGTCCGAACCGGTTTGAACTGCTAAATTAAGAATATATTTTTTGCGTTCTATCAGTTAGCAGTATAGATGCCGTGATACGATTAGTTTTTTCTATCGTTCGTACAATCCACTTTTATTTTCAGGTACCAAAAATATGAAAATGCGTTATTTAATTTTGACACAACAGTAAAAGCAAGTCTACATTAACATACAAAATGTCTTGTTTATACGACTATACATTTTATCTGAATCAAAATGTAGCAAAGTGTGGTAAGTCGCCTAAAATACCCGTGATTGCTACAACTTTGTGTTTCAGTATTAGTTAAATCGTTGTACCTTTGAACTAAGGAGTTGCAGTGAAAATCGTGAAATGGGCACCTTGTCGCCATATATATCGTGAGCTGCTATTTACGAAATATGTTTCATAATTTATATATATATATATATGATGTCACAACTGGAGCCATAAGCAATACAATTTTCAGAAATTTCTCGAAAGTTTTAGGACAAGTTTTTTCAGTCTACATTTTATAGAACCACTAAGCGGCAATCGCAATGCTTTGTTTACACTCGGCACTGATGCAGGCAACGAATCGTGCAGGAAGGAGTGATTGAAATTATTCACTCAAAATCTTTAAGCACCTTCATACTCTGATTGAATCAGGCCTAAAATAGTGCTTATGCAAGTGAATATTTTCTTATGCAGGAGAAACTGGCATTAAAAGACACATTAAAAAAAAAAAAAAATTTTTTTTTTTAGAGGTTTTTTATTTTAATATTTTCTGACATTAAAAACATTAACAGACATTAAAAAAAAAATTTTTTTTTTTTTTTAGGTTTTTTATTTTAATACTTTTTGATGGTTTGCGTGCATAATCGTCATAGTTCTGCCGTAGCCTCAAATCCAGAAATTTGTTTAAGGCTCTCCCAAATCACTTGTAACGGGCCTATTGAGAATAAAGGCGCCAAAAACGATTTGCAGAGCATCTTCCAGATAATTTGGGGGCGCATTTACTTCTGATGTGATCGCCCTTTATTTATGTTGTCAAATATTCAGTCGGTAACAGTGGCGTAGCTAGGCCTTCTGGCACCCGGGGCCCTTGTCTCTTTCGTAGCCCCCCTTCACTCCCTGAGATAAGCAACCAGTAAAGCAGGGGGGGGAGTGAGGTTGCACCCTCTTCACGTGAGTGGGACGCCTGCTACCCTCCCCCTGTTACTATGCTACTGGTCAGTAATGAAATATATTTTTATTATCATCAATAAATTTGACTTTATGAAGTTCACATAACCGCTTGAGACCGACACGGGAGGACGATACTCGAATTTACACCAGCTATTAAGTTTGCGGAAACGTTTTCTTGTTGGATGTTTGGCAGTGTGAGACATCGGGCTGCAGGGGTTGCTAATGTTATATTCGGTTTTACGGCACTCGTTTTGGGCCCTGACATCATCTATGATGACGTTGAGAGGATGTCGTACCGGGCGACGACGGTGCCTCAATCCGAGTCCTTGGTACCTCAGAGGCGACAACATTCTACTTTGACTGGGCTACCTCCTTGGAGCCTGACGCTCTGACCCCAGTGAGCAACAGCACCACCATGCTCCTAGGGCTCTTTTGTGCTACATACACCAATCGAACGGCGTGCCAGATCCCCTGGGCTCGCTACTGACCTGCCTCAACAAAATCTCGACATCTGCAAATCGCACTACCATCTTCCGCAATAACAGCAATCTATCTTGTCATCTTGCATGTATATACTCATCGCATTATCATGTTCATTAGACGCGGCACTGCGGGCCTCCATGGTATGGGCTGTTGCCTTTCCGCGGTGCCGCGGCTCTCCAGAGCCAAATAGATATTGTGTTATATTATTACTTTACAACTCTTTGCTTTATCAGTTGTGCACTCTAACATTTCACGTAGATATATTGTCGAGAGACTGCTATAAATACTGCACAACTTTACAATTCGAACATCTTCCTTGGAAAAAAGCGTAAGGAAAAATCCTTGGCTAGTGTTTACTCGCATGCAACGCCACTGGCCAAGAAACTCCTATCTTGCAGTGTAACTTGAAGGACAAAAGCGAGTGTTTTCACTCAATCTTTCCTTTGCAAAACTTTATGACTTAGCTGGGTGGTCGTAGTACTGCCCAGGGAGGGTATTTCAATGCAGCTCATAGGTTGGACCCGAGCATTGTGTGGGCACTTGATCTGGGCTCGTGATAATCGATAGCTCGAGAAGCATATCGGTAGTGGCCTGTGTCCAATCGCTGCAGTGATGACAATAGCCGAACCATAACAATGTCTGGAACCATGTCTTGTACTTGCCAACCCCAGCACGTGGCTATGATCAACATTGGCGGCATATAATTGCCTCCAAATCATGTGGCCGCTTGTTCTGGCTGCGAGTTGAGTGGGTGAACGCTGCTCATTTTTCTTTCATTTTTTTTTCTGCGACTTCGATTGCATGTGGTAAAAAACAAACTGGTTTTTCACAGGTCATCAGGTCAGGGATCCATTCTAAGCGGTATTTGTGCAAAGCACAAAAATCATTGCATCGCCCCTTTAAAATGGTTTGCACATGACGTCGTAGCACTATATGCTTGTGGTCATTTCGATTTGTTCTTGCTGAAAAAATAGAGTCCGGTGGTGCAAAATGCACGCTGCAGGAGGTTTGCGCTCAGTGCAAGCCATGTATCCTAGAGACACAAATTATTCTTGCTTAGTGCAGCATCATGAGGAATCGTGCAAGCGTCTGTCACAAATTGCGCTTTCTGGCAAGAGTGTTTTTGCAAACAAAGTAGTTTCCAGGGCCACGCTTTCTGGTCCGTGCCTGCAATACGTATAGCGCCACGACTGCAGGGGATTTTGGGAACCCTCGGTACAGATCACACGCTTTCTCACTGCGTCTCTGCTGGCGGTAGATGCTGCGACTGAGTCTCAGCAGCTACCACCAGCAGTCGCAGCCATCCACCACCCCGGCCATCCGCCGGAATGTCGTACGTCGTTGATGGCGTACCATATCTGTTCTGCCTGTGGTACCAGTGGCACCCGGGTCGACGTACTCTTCGCTGCGTTGTGCTGTTGGACAGAACTTGACAGATTTTTACGTCTTGCAGTGGTACCGAATCCGCACCTATCAGACGATGGAGCCAGTACAAAGGAGAGGGATGAGAAAGGGGCAGCCTTGCAAGCTAGCCAACGCAATACCCTCTCCCCCATTTCCGTGCGCCCGCCCGACTCGGCTGCTCCAGCGTTGTTGCCTTGGTATCCTGCCACTGCTCGTGTATGTCACATGGTAGTGGGAGGAAGGGTGACGGGAGGGCCGTACAGAGAACTCCCATAATTTGTGGTGCAGCGGGAGCGTCATTTTTTTGATTTTTTGCGAAATGAGAGTCTATCTGCTTCCAGGCCTCTGAAATTTCATAACTATAGCCAGGTGGTGTGGGATATCACCACATGACCTTTGGAAGATCGGGAAAAAAAACTAAAAACATCACCCTCTGCATCTTCCCCCTGGCGAGGGGGTCGGCAATTTTCTTGGGTGATATAGTGCCATTAAATAAGCTACGCTGTAGTCAAACTGAGTCAACCTTATTCCGACACCAAGCCCACTGGGAGACGGGGTGGAGGCTCTGGGCCGGTGCCACGCGGTAGAGTCACAATTTTCCTCTGTCCCTCCTGTTCTTACCTGTGTCAGTTAGTTGTGTCACTCCTCCCTCGATAATTTTCACCAGTATTCGAATCTCCTCTTTGCGCTTTTGTAAAAATGTTAGTATACTCTCAAAGGCAATTCTCACCGTTTGCACAATGTTTTGAAAAAAATATCTTCGGTGAATGACGAAGAACGAGCAGAAAACGTCTCTTCAGCACGCTGCCGCCCAGCCTCCGCAACGCTCCAAAAGGTCGATTTTTCGTGACCCAAGATGGTCGTCCGGTTTAAAGCTGATTTTCCCTGCATTATTTTTCCCAAATCTTTCTCTCGACTTCTTTTACTCTTTCACAGACGTAATTGGCTACTTTCAGCACTTTTCTTGATAATTTAGCGTTTAGCTACTTTTGCATAGCTTTTCAGCCTTCAGAATTTGGCAACACTGATTTTGGCGCCCTTTTCTTCCCGCGCGCCACAGAATCGTAGATTCGCGGAAAATCCACCTGGGCACTCCTTTGTGCGTCGAGCTGCAAGTCCAGACAGGAAGACGTTGAGCCGCGGAGCTTGAATCATGTTCGTCCACAAGCGTGGTGAGTGGCCGAGCACTGCCAGACCGTCGCCGACCTCCCGCTGCTGCCCGCCTCTCCGGCCGACACATCCATCGACACAGCTCGTGCCTAAACCTCAGTAATTTCATAGCGCTATTCTAGCTTCGCAACTTTAAAATTCCTCCATTTTTAAGTTTCTACTTTCATAACGTATCCAAATATGATGGAGTTGTAGTTTAGGTCTTTAAAACCACTGCCACGATTGTGTTACTTTTCGCGCGTGCTGCTCCAAAGCCCCCAACGGCAAATATCGGTGCGCATTTACGGCAGTCGGTTTCCTCGGATTGGATTATACTTCGCTTAATACTTAACTCTTTCCGGTCATAACTCCCTCCAGTCAGTTGACGGGGGCGTGATGAAGATGGTGATTTCAGGTGAGCAGCCGTTACCGTGTTCCTGGTACCGTACTAGCGGAGCGCCTGTGAAGCATGCTTTCAAAACCTGGGCTCGCTTTTAATGCTTTTAAAGGGGCCGTGCAGCAAGGTTGGGACTTGGGTCGAATAATTGTGGTAATTGTTCCCTGTCACATATAGACTAAAAGGCCGAAAAAAAAAAAAAAGATAAAAGATTGCCTTCACGCGTTAAATTTTTAGAAAAAAAAAAAAAAAGTAAGACAATTGACGTTTTCTCCAAATCACCCTCAACTCTTGCACCATCTTCCGAGTCCCGTGCGCAGAGACGCGCAATGGGGATAGATAGCGGTTGGTATCTCTTTCAGATCCTTCAGCACGCACGGCCTCTTGCGACTCCCATGGCGACCTTCAAGGTTATTTTGAGACTCTGAGCGATGTGGAGAGGGGGAGGGGGGGGGGGAGAGTAAAGAGCTTGCCTTTTTATAAGGGACTTTGACTTGCGTAGTGGCACAACGAGGTGAGGCTCAAGGGAGGAATAGTTTCTTTCACCTTGGACAGATGGCACCACTAAAACTGAATATAGTTAAACTTTGTAGATGACATGGGGTTTTGACATATTTACTCATGTTAAAACAATAATATTTATCAAATATGGCATAAGATTGAACACATAATAGCATTCATCCAACCTATTACATTTTTTCCATTGCGCATCATGCCTTAGTTCCTGTGGCTGCCATCACGCGGCTGCGAATCGCGAAATATTCCCGTTCTTTTCTTTCCTATTATGCAACAGAATCGCAATATTTCAAGAGAATGAGGCGGTTTCTCAGTTCCTTTTGGTAAAATAAACTATGTAAAAATTTAAAACTGCAAATCCTTTCGAAGTTAATATATTGTCGCATCGCTCCTTTAAAAGCATGCTTCAAAGGCTCTGGTACGCGGAACACGCCGTGCTACTGCACTTTACTAGGAGTCGCAATTACCTTTTTGCCTGATCGCTGAAAAGACACATACAAGACGACCGAATGACATTTTCCGTAGTCTGCTGGCGCAGCCCTGGCCCGGCAACTCGACAAACCTTGTGGCCGGCCCGAAGGCTAAAGGCCTGTCCAAACAAAAATAGTGAGGCGACACAACTCATTGTAAAAGTTGAAGCGTCCGGGGGTCCGATGTCTGTTTGAACATCACAGAGCCAAAATTGCGATTTTCCTCCTCGCTTCCTTTGCTTTTCGGTGATCTTGGTGCTCGTCAGATCTGACGTCACACGCCACCTGTCCATCTGTTCTGTCAGGCTCCAGAGTTACTCCAGAGTAAGGGTTTTGGACCTTTGCGTTCGAAAACCTACCCGCGTTCAGCGTTGCTTTATCTGTGTTATCACGCGACACGACCCGCTGGAGTAGCTCGGATCTATTTGGGCAAGATTTCGAACACCTCCCTTCCCTTTCCCGTTTTTGGGACCTAAAGAGAAGCAGAGGCCTTGAGCGATTGGCCGGCAGCAGACCGAGCTTGTGAGTGGCCGTCCGGACCCACGTGTTGAGCATGCTCAAGGCCCCCGTGGAGGACACGGGCGAAATTTGACAAAGGGAACTCCCTCCTCGGCAAACAAAAGGACGAAAGCGGACCGCCATACGACTTGTGTCTGAGTCGTGTCACCTCACGATTCCTGTCTGGTTAGGCCTTAACACAATGCGGCCCCCTCTGCTGGGGGACTGGCAAGGGCCCTCCAGAGTTCTTGTGGCCAGGCGTAAGCCTAACACAGAGAGTTTCCTGTTGAGCTTTCAGTTCATCGCTCCTTTATCAGCCGGTATGCCATGTCTGAAGGAACAAAGGACATATAAGTTTCGCATTGGTGGCCACGAAGCGCCACGTGCATTCTCGATTATGTGAACCTTCTTTTGCGGACAAGTGCGATGCAACAGAGGTCGAGGAAGACAGCAGCTCTGCCATCTAGAAGTGCAGTGTAGAACCCCCTGGAACAGTTGTTTGTTTTGGGATGTGTGTCCAGGCTAAGGACGCAACAAGGGGGTATTCATATTTACCGTAAATATTTGTTGTGGAAAGGATATGGCTAGAGAATGTAACAGAATTTTTTTCTCACGTGTTTCTCACGTGTTCCAGCGAGCCCGAGAGCTCGCTGGAACTCGGTCTGTTAGGCTTTCGCCTGGCCACGAGAACTTTTAGTGTGTGGATTTGGCAAATCTCAAATTCTTGCTCCTTAGTTTTGTTTTTATTGCGAAAACTTTGTTGTCAACCTTTTCTAATCTTTTAAAACATTAAAGGAGGGCATAGTAGGAAGTTTCATGGCCCCCGAGTGCTCTTCCGGTTCGCCTTTGAATTTTCTACGTCGTTTCAGGTGGTCGCCGCGAGACGGTTCATTTCGACAAGATCACCTCCAGGATCCAGAAACTCTGCTACGGACTCAACATGGACTTTGTCGATCCAGTAGGTTTCACTCGGTTGGTCACGCCTTGCCAGGCCTGAGACAGCTGAATGTAAAAGAGATAGGCGACTCGGGACGGCTTCCACGGGGAGCATTGTGCACGTCATAAAGTTAAGACATAGGTGGATTCGCATGCTATTTTGATGAGGTGACGGAGGTTTACGAAAACATTTTATTTTTATAAAATATTCCGGCTATCGGTATAGAAAGGGTTACCAATGTGGTCTGCCAACTTCCAGCCAAATCGAAGAATATAAAAAAAAATTGGCCGAGTTCCTTTTTTAAATTCTCAGTTTCTGCCCAATTGTGGCACTATTGGTTTGAACCAGATGCCAGAGTTTCAGAACGAACCCCATTACTTCAAAAGTTATAAGAGATTTTTGGACATTTTCTTTTTATTGATAAAATGGTGGCTGACGAGGCCCACGAATGCATGGGACTGAATGGCACAAGCCACCGAGAATAGGTCCTCTTTTCCCCAATGAAAAGTTCAAGAAAATCATGGTAACTTCGGAGTAAAATGACTGTTTGTTCTGAAAATTTTGCATCTTGTCTAAACCTCTGGCTCCACGTTTTATACCCCGTCTCCCTAGAACCGTGCAGTACAGCCAAAGCTACGGGGGGGGGGGGGGGGGGGGCATATGCCAACCTGTTCAAGAGGAGGGAAAGGAGAAATGGGAGAAAGGTTGGGATTCCCCCCTTCCACCTTTCCCTCCTTTGACCAGGTCGGGATACACTCTCGTTCCTGTTGCTTTGACTGTACTGCAGGGTTTTAGTGAGACGGAATATAGGTGGGGACTGAGCGTTTAGTGATGCATAGCTACTTAACTTTTGAGGTTAAAAAAACTAACAAAAAAACTGCATTAAAGATGCTGTAGTTGGCCGCTCGATTTTGTTAAACGGACTGAAAAAGAACTACCTTTGTCTGTTTTATGTGTAGAGAAAAGAAAGTATTTACTTGAGGGTTTGTCTGCAGTGCTTGATCACCCAGAAGGTGATAAATGGCCTCTACCCCGGCGTGACCACCGTTGAACTGGACAACTTGGCAGCTGAAACTGCTGCGACAATGACGACGAAACACCCCGACTATGCCATTCTGGCAGCGCGCATTGCCATCTCCAACCTCCACAAGGAGACCAAGAAAGTGTTCAGTGGTAAGTTCAGCATAACAAACTCAAAGAAAGAAAAAAAAAAAAAAAAAAGGTTGCAGCCTGTGGTTTATTATTTCTGGGCCTTTGTGAAACTCTGTCTGTTCGAGAAGTAATGAGCACTCCAAGACGCATCTCTTATGACCGTTGAAACACTTAAAATAATATGTGAACACGTAGTTGCTGAGAGAAACGGCCCGTGCAACTCCTGGAGTCTGATGTCACATTTTTACCGTGCTGGTCTCCTGGCTTTGGTTTGACTTTGTTTGTTTGTGCATTCGCACCATTTTTCTCGGTGAGGGTGTCTCGTCACGTACCCTAGCGCTTCGTTCGAAAAAGCAAATTATGTTTTGGGGTGTTCTCACACCGAATGCCAAGTGTCGTCCGAATATGAACTAACGAATAATTAAGTGGAGGCTGACGAGCCGTATTTTGGTTACCCCTTGCCGAGGGAATCCTACCTGTGAGGTTTCTACGCTTGTCCGGCGTCGTAATTTGTAGTGGTGACATTTTTTTTGCAGAGGTGGTGGAAGACCTGTACAACATGGTGAACGAAAAAACCAGGCTACGTACGCCCATGATCAGTGACGAGACATACAAGATTGTCATGGAGAATGCAGAGGTAAGAGCGTCCAAAACTAAAGTAGTGCCTCTTGAAAGAGCTTTTCTGTTCACCGACGGCTTATTGACAGGTGTTTAATATTTCTCGAAAAATTCTAAACATGGTGTGTGCCAGTAATGAGAAGGATTTTTAGCCGACCTTTGTATAGGGATAGTTTTCTGTGGTACTACAGTGAACTACCTCTTTAAGGGGCACTAACATCCCCCAAGATATTTTTATCTTTTGCCATGTGATTTATTATGGTGTCGGAAGACTACTTAATCAATATTTTGCTACAGCGTCATGTATATTTATAATAAAGTAGAAAATGCAACTGCTCAAAGCCGAAGCTGAACTGGGGAGGGAGAGGAAATATAGAGGAAGAGAGAGTTAGCAAAAGTCACGTGGCTGTGCAACGTATTTGCAGCTTTTAGAAGCCACAAAGAAAATGAAAGCCGTTTACAATTACCTGTAACGCCGGATTAGAGCACAGCTCTTGAGGAGAGGATGGCGTACTGAGGGATAGGTGACTCCTTGAGGTCGCGTAATTTGGGGGGGGGGGGGGGGGTTCGTGTGGCGTCAGGCAGGTCACGTGACCTGGGGGGATCACATGATGACCTTGCGGTTACGCTGACGGCGACGCCGACGCCGCTCAAGCTGGAAACGGGCGCCTAAGAGCTGCGCTCTAAAATGGATATGTTTCTTTTCTATCTTTAATATCGCGTGTGTGCCTTCGGTGGCCCACGACCTCTCTTTTATTTATTTAAATAGGATATTTTAATGTTAAGATTATGGTTGCTTTGTTTGTAAATGAGGCTGAAATATAAAACAGCTGACCCCGTGTCATTTTTTTCCACCCTTGTTTAGGCCTTCAATTCGGCCATCATCTACGACCGTGACTTCAACTACAACTTTTTTGGGTTTAAGGTAAGAGCTAGATATTGAAGCAGGGTGTAAGATTTAAGGACTATTGAGTTTTAAAGAACTGCTAGCTACTTTGGAACAACGAAATCCCTCTCTGCTCACTGCATCCAATATTTTGCAATATTTCAGTCAATATTTTTGAATTTGGGTTTATGACTGTAGCAGAAACAGTGTCCCTGAATTACAAGGTATAATTAATTTTCTTTTATATATTGTGTGTAGTTTTAAATATCACGGCTCAAAGTTTAGTTTCGAGCATCTACGGCAAAACCGAAACCTGCTAGAGGGATGGCAACACTGAATCAGGCACGTAGCCAGGGGGGTGCCCCCCCCCCCCCCCCCCCCCCCCGAAATCTTTCTTTTTGCTGGGGCCTCCTCTCCCCCCTCCCCCTCACACAACATTGTCATAAGTGCCCTACGTGCCTGCACTGAATATCAGCCGTACGGCAGCAACGTGATGTTACATGGGTGCTGCGGTGCACGGTACATCTAATCAACCACAGCCCCACTGCGACGTGACATCGCAAGGGTGCTGCGCCAGTGTTCCTTGACTGAAAGCTTTCCCGCTTGCAGCCCGCTAAAGATCACCTGGTCGCATCTTTAAAATCGGTTTTAGTGGAGTATGCGGCTTCACTTTGACATAATATTTCGGCTGTGATCCTATTTTATGTCACTAGAGAGATACCAGTCATTTATTTTGGTTTTGTTTTTGATTGGATTTGCCCTTTAACAATGCTGCTTGTGCCTTGGAGGAGCAAAGAGCTATGTATGTCGTCATCGATTCCTGGAATGGTGCTGTTGCTAACGTAGTCGTCTTTTTTTTCTATTTCAGACATTAGAGCGCTCCTACCTGCTCAAGATAAACGGGAAAGGTAAAGCATTCTCAACTTTGTCCTATTCTACAGTGCTGCTTGTGATATCTTGTAATATAATGAAACATTACAGAATCGTTCTGTAATGCTCCATGTCGGGTATCCCTGGAGGACTTTCAATCTCCATAAGGCGATACTGAAGGTTTTGCAGTATTTGCGGGGTAAATCTATGCACTGTCTATGAGAAAGAGTCGCTCGTACCCTGGTGAGAATTAGTTAAAGTCCACGGTGAGAGGATGGCACGCAAACAAATTGGAAAATACTAGGGGTGATTAACGAGTTTTGCCTCCTAAGCAGTAAGTTTTTTTATTTTGTGATGGAATTGAAAGATACTAGGCAATTTGAGTGCATTGTTATAATGAATACTTGAAAACAAAAGAATAAAAATAAGACATACACGGACAACCACACTTTTTCATATAGCAACAACGTTTAATTCTGGTGACAAAAATTCACGCTCTACTCAAAACTTTTACGCATATAAGGGGGCAGGAAAAGAGAGTGGAAATGGGAAACTGAAGGAAAGGGGTGGGGGAGGAGGGTGAAGTGCTGTGTCATGGTGACGTCTGTTCCTTCTAAGTTGAGGGTGAATTTTGGTCACTAGCATTAAACGTTACTGTTTCAAACAGTGGTCGTCTGTGTATGTTTTATGTTTAAGGTGAAAGCCTTATATGTCCCATTACGCAAAAAGGCGTCTGGCGAAAGATGGCCTTAAAAATGTCATCAAGCATGTGCGGAGACGGCGGGGGGGCCGCGCCTGCGCAGTGGAGCGAAATGTCACCGTCGGAGCACCATGTGCACTGAATACACACAAACACTGAATGCAATACCGGCAGAAACAACTTTGCTATGTGTAGAAACATGATTCAAAAACATTTCAGCTGTGGGACTATAATTCTTTCGCATTCCTACACACAAGCAGTCTTAAGTGCCTTCGGCGTGTTGTTTTTATTTTGTTTTTAAGAATTGAAAGATGTTGCATTCGAATGAAAGTTTGGAATCTCCTCTTTCCCAGGAGCAGAAAACTTTTCGGTATAGGCCTCGCCGGCGGCGATGCACTTTGACTCTCAATGCACTACTCTCCGCATGCCATCGTGGATGACTGAGGGCGGCCGTTGACGAGAACAACGCCACGCCATGCTGAAGGATCTGCTGCTCCAAGATGTTTCGCCTCTATCACCTTACAGCCCGGACCTCGCGCCATCAAACTTTTGGCCCGGGGGGGACTATATTAAAAAGCGCTATGCTCCAGGGAAAGAGAAGATCCATATTGTCATTCGATTGTAACATCAAAATGTTTAGCTGGGCTTGTTGTAACATCTTTCGATTCCGTCACTGATTGAAGTTAGAGCCTAGGAAGCAAAACTTATGCGGAGTGCAAGTTCATCTGCTTCTTCTGCAGAGGTTGTGACGTCAGAATGCTGAGCTCTGATTGAAGGATAGTGGGTAGACCTCAAGGCAGCTTGCTTTGAGGTCAACTCACTGTCCTTCAATCGGAGTGCGGCGTTCTGACGTCACCAGAACCCCTGCAGAAGAAGCAGACAAACTTCTGGCCCAAATATCCGGATTAGAAGTGGGCCAGAGCTACATAATCGTTGGCGCCATTTTGTGTTCCCTCATCATGAGTGTGCACAACTGAAGTGCCTAGTTGTGTTTGTCTTACGAGTAGTGTCAAATGCACAAGGCCCTTCAAAGCAGATGGCGGAGCAGCACTTGCTTGTGGCACATGGCCCGCACATTCGCATGCGGTGGTTGTGGACACTTGTAAGAAACGTGAAAGTGAATTTGTATCAAGAGGCTCCGGGCATAACGCACTGTTTTGCTAGAGTGCAAATGTGTGAACCAGCCGTTCCGGTGAAACGAAGTACAGAAGGAAGCCAGTGATAGAAGGCAAACGTTGGTTTGCCAAACATTATGGCGTGCACGACGTTTGTTCAGTGGTCGAGCGGCCCCAGCACATGCTGATGCGCGTCTCGGTGGGCATCCACGGGGCGGATGTGGAGAGCGTGCTCAACACGTACAACCTCATGTCGGAGAAGTGGTTCACCCACGCCTCGCCCACGCTCTTCAATTCGGGGACTCCAAGGCCGCAGCTCTCCAGGTTTCTAATGTTTCTATGTTACTCTTTTTTTCTTTTTTTTTTTTTTTTTCAAAACACTAGTATTGAATTTTTTTATTTTATTACAAACAACAGATTGTAATATCCCAAAAGATGGCACACCTAAAATTGAAATCAAATTTTGTAAAAATAAGGGGCAAGCTAACTTTCGGTGTGAGATAAAAAAAAAAAGTTGAAAAAAATGCTTGTTTCAGATTTTGTTGACCTACAAAACTTGCAACTGCAGGGAACCAAAAATGAACCAAAGACGACTGTCCTTCCCAGTCAGCGATACTAGATGAGCATTTCAAGGAAGTGTTGGCTATAAAACTTCCTAAGAGACTATAATGTTAATGACTATGGTAATTTATAATAACATCAAAACAATTTTGGCATAATAATGTTTTTTGAATGATGCTGAAATTGTAAGAGCAGTTTGATTGCACATAGTGCTGTTTGTAGAACATGTGCCTTTCCTTTTGATGAGGTATTGTAAAAGAGCTGGTTGTTCAGTCTGATTTTCAATGAAGTAGAGATTTTCTTGAAAACTGCAACAAATAAGGAAAAAATAAATGTTTATTGGTGCGTGGCACTAACATTTGTGTTATATGGGAGTGTCATCAATATTGTGAGAAATTGTAGGAACCGAAATTAGGATTTCATAAAACAATGCAGGAGCTGTAGGCGGGACGCTACAATCCCTACAACACTACTCGTAAGGCGATATCTCAATTGGACGGCCGTATTTGTGGAAATAGAGGTTGAGATTCAACGAGGCCGACGACGCGCGTGACGTCCACCTATCTCGCTTCGCTCCCTCAAGGCGGCGAGGCGGAGAAGATGCGAGGCTGTTACCTCTCCTTCTCGGAGAAACAACACATAAACATATCTGCCAAGTGTGCCTCCTTTGTTTTGAAAAATATGGTCATCCATTCGAGGTATCGCTGTACAAGTGATTTTTGGTGTTTGTAGCATCCCGTTGGACGCTTTTGCCGTCATGTTTTGTGGAATCCAGATTTCGGTTCAGCATACCTTCAAAGACTGTTAATTCATTTGTTTCTTTTATTTACACACTGCCCTTTAACTCATCATTGCAAATCAACTAAAAGGGTAGTCTTGGATGTTTGGTCATTGTTCCAGAGGCATTTGTACCAAAGGAATGCTAATATTGCAGAAATTGCTGTGCACAGAAAAAGTCTTCAGACTTTTCTGTGTGATAGACTTCAAAGTCTATCACCTTTATTATGTGCAATTCTGCAATGCAAACCTGCGCTCTCCGCGCCACCGCAAAGCCTCGTTTTCAGTCGGTGCAAAGATGGCGGTTTCAGTGTTCGTGGTCTTTGAGGTCATTGAAATGTTTATGGGTGCCTTGCAGCTGCTTCTTGCTCCAAATGAAGGACGACAGTATAGAGGGTATCTACGACACCCTGAAGCAATGTGCGCTCATCTCCAAGTCTGCAGGCGGAATCGGAGTCAACATCCACTGCATCCGCGCCTCAGGCAGCTACATCGCTGGGGTGCGCATGCTGAATTTGTGCTGTCTGGCTCGCATTTGGTGCTTAATGCCAGGGGTGACATAGACATTTGCGGATATGCTCGTTTTTGCTGGCATGTTACAGAAATCATATTCACAGGCTAAATAAGCTACTGGGTGTAAAAGTGGGAGGGGTGAGGGGGCTTTATCCTGACCGAAGTGTTGCACTACGATTTATTTTCCAACCATTTTTTAGTACATATTGTAAATAGGACCTGCTCTGACCAGAGCCTTATTTCTAAAAAGAAGACTGTGTCACACGTGTCACACGTGTGCTTGTGCATCCTGGGCACCCTTCAAAGCTGTGCATGTGCGCTCCTCACTTGTTAAGTACTACAGGAAGTTTTCCCCGAGTGTAGGGAGCATGTGAATTATTGTTAATATGTTTACTAAGAGCCAATTGCATACCTTGATTGGCTTATAGTTGTATGTGTCAGTGGGTGACTCGGATCTTCTGAAATCTAGCTCGGGGAATCCTTGAAGGCACTCGGAAACCTTTGGTCCTCTAGAACCCAGTTTTGCGAACCCGCGCTCTATGCGTTACCATGTCAGTAATGCAATCTCGAGCAACAAGTTCTAAAAGTTCTCAAGGGTGTCTCTTAGTGGGAATCTTTTATTCTAGGATTTTACATTTTGCAGAAATTAATACGGGGGAAGCAGCTCTAAATTTTCCTGTGGTTATTTCGTCCGTTAACGTTGCAGACAAACGGCACGTCCAACGGTCTTGTGCCAATGCTGCGCGTCTACAACAACACCGCACGCTACGTCGACCAGGGAGGCAACAAGGTGAGGGCCCTGGTCGCCGAGTTCTATTGCTGCTATTACTTTTGGTTAATAATATAATTAAATTATCAGTTAATTGGCAGCAATCGCAAAGTGCTTCTTTGCTTCCCATAATCAAATGAATACACCCCGGCAAAGAGTTGATAATTCCACATCGCATATGACCTCTTCTCGTTTTAGGCGCTCTGTCTTAACTCGGCAAAGTTGAAAAACGTGTACCACTGCTTTGTCTGAAAGGCATGTGAATGGGTCGTTGAAAAATTCCGGAACACCGTAAAATGCCTTATATTTTTCTAAGGTTTTTCTAAGGATTTAATGATTTTCGATGGTGCCCAGAAAGTTTCTAATTGCAACCATACTCTTAAATTCACTAATTAAACGGTTAATTACTCAATTGCTGTATTTTTTGGTGTCTAAGTCAGTTTCTTTTTTTTTTTTTCCCCAGTATTTCTGTTGGTATCTTATGCAACCCTGTGACTTTTGTGTTTTTTTTTTTCCTTAATCAGTGTAGACTTTTTTTTGTTTACCTCCAGCCACATAATACTAGCATTTAGTGTATATGAGTGAAGTGATCTTTGCCATCACCAGAGGCCCGGAGCATTTGCGATGTACCTGGAGCCATGGCACGCGGACGTGTTCGACTTCCTGGACCTGAAAAAGAACACGGGCAAGGAGGAGAACCGGGCACGGGATCTCTTCTACGCCCTCTGGATCCCGGACCTGTTCATGCGGCGGGTGGAACAGGATCAGATGTGGTCCCTTATGTGTCCCCATGAGTGCCCTGGCCTGCACGAGGTCTATGGACATGACTTCGAGAGGCTATACACCAAGTGAGTGGCACCCCGGCGTAGTGACAGCGTTTAGATGGCGGGAACTTGGTCGGCCTCGATGGGCGTCCGGTGTCTCTGCCGTGGAAGAGGAATTCGGCTGGCGTGACAGTACCACCACTTGTCTGGAGCCTTGTAATTTTTGTGCAACCGCCACGTATCTGTGATTATGCAAACACTTGCCAGTATGACTCGCCAGGTCAAAGCGGGCAAGGACGGGGCACGCGGTGCAGGAAAACGGTTTCGCTTCTGCAGCTCCGCATATTTGTGCCGTGGCTACCTTGCTCTGCCTGGACGCGCCCCGCCGTTGCCACGCGTGCTCGACTTGGGGATTGAACCCAGGACCTCTGGGTCCCATGATGCAAACTTTCGCTCCTCGTGCTTCAAGCCGAGACGCGTCGACACAAACGATTGCTCTGCTCTGTCGTGCTGTGGGGCACAGACTGGAGGGGAGGTAGGGCTTGACAAGTTCCGGCATCTCGTGTTTCTGCAGCCAACGAGATTGCAGTGTTACCCGGCGAGAACGCTGAGGAACCGGTTGGGAGGCGAAAAGTATGAACGTAATAAGCCACGTCTTGGAGGTTCTTAAGGCGTCTGCAACTACAGCCGCCTCCCTTCGTCGTCCCAGGTACGAGGGGGAGAAGCGCTACCGGCGCCAGGTGCAGGCGCAGCAGCTGTGGTACGCCATCCTGGAGTCGCAGATAGAGACGGGCACCCCGTACATGCTGTACAAGGACGCCTGCAACAGCAAGTCCAACCAGAAGAACCTCGGCACCATCAAGTGCAGCAACCTGTGCACTGAGGTCATCGAGTACACCGCGCCGGACGAGGTGGGCAATGCTTCCTCTCTTTCTTGTTTTTCTTTTTTCCTTCGCAATTTGATTATATGGTTTGATTTCGCAGTTCTCTTGTACCTTGCCCTTTTGTTTCTGTGCATATTTTTTCTGCTTCATTTTAGTATTTCAATTCTCCGCTGCTTTTCTCGCTGCCTTGACAGCATTTTCTCATAATTTTTTAAGCAGGGTATGACATTTGCGCCAATTGCGCCATTTTGATACAAACCCATTTTTCTGCGCCTAGTTGTGCCAAAAACGCGAAATCGGTCGAAATTGCACCACACTGCGCAGGAAACGAGAGCTTGGTTGGCAACATTCAATCTCGTCGTAGGGTGGCGCAAGCAACCACAGGATTCGAAGATTTCACCTGTAGTACCCTTCTATACCTATGATACTTGGTCTTTTCCCGATTTTCCTGCTACTTTACTCTGTCATTTGTGACTGCACGCTACCGATGCGCTGCCACATGATCTCGTTGTCTGGTCGCGGGAGGTACAACGCACAGGCTATCAAGATGAGCAAACCTAAGTATTTCTTTAGTTTTGAAAGTAAAGCTTTTCTTAAAAGTGCCATTGAGCGCCTCCATTGTGTAATTGTTCATTCGTGTCTGTAATCTTCTCGTCAAAATGGACGGCGCCGTCGCCGTAAGTACTTTCGGTTATCACACACCTGCTTCCAGCGCGTGAACAATCGAATAAATCGGTCACACACCCGTATTTAGTGTGCATGTGCTGCTCATAGCTTTTCTACCAATTCACTATTTACCTTGTGACTCACTTTTGTGTGGAATTTTCTCTATCTGCACGGGGGTGCTTTCTATGAGCGTCCGATCAATGTCTGGTTGTAGTAAACAATGCTTCCCTGTTCATGCTTTTGAATCACCGCTTTAAAAAGTTTTGCACTACAATTGCTCTTTGGCACCAGTTCGAACTATAAGCTTGAGGTACCTGGTGCCCACCTAACTTTGCAGCAAGCCTGTGTTTCTTGTCCTCATCTATGTGCATTGGACTCGCGTGTGCCTTTTCCATTTTTTTTTTTTTTTATCTCTGTGTGTATCGGCGCTAATGACTTATTGGGACCAGGGTGGGAAAAAAATAACTATTAAAAAAGAAAAATCAGATTCATGTGATTGAAATCAGATTTGTTTATGATTTAAATTGCTGATAAGCTGCTCTAACATTTTCTGCACCTAATCTGCTCCAAACTGTAGACTTTTCTGCTTCGAAATTGCTCCGAAATGCATGAACTGCTGCTCCAAATGAGAATTTTGTGCTCCTAAGCTGCTTCAAGATCCAGATATTTCTGCTTCAAAAGTTGCTCCAAAACCTGTTTCACCTGTCTCACCCCTGTTTAAGCTATCTTGGCATCTCGTTTGCGGTTCGCTTTGGCCCGTTTTCCCTGGACGCTGAGTGCTATGTGAGCGGGTGTCTCGTAGTGTCTGGAAGGGAGCGGCTTCTACCGTAGAATACCGCACTTCCGCCCATTCCACGTTAAGCGCCCACACCCATATTTGTAAGATCTGAGGAAATAAACTCAGACCATTTATAGGTAAAACTGATGACCGGACAAGCGCCCATTCCCTGTTTTATCACGATTATCTCTAAATTTTGAGTGGGCGCTTGCCCGGTATTTTACGGTAAGTCCTAAGGCCGAAAACGTGTCAATCGACGAGAATCGAAACACCAGTTAGTTTCCTTCTCTCTTATCTTTCCTGGTTATTGCAGATACAACTATGGCAACTTGTTGAAGGCTACAAATATACATCTGACACTTGTTTTTAAATGTTCACGAGTTGGGTTTAACCGAAATTTGGATTTCAGAAAAAACAATTTAGGAGATGTAGGTGGGACGCTACAATCCCTACAGCACTACTCGTAAGGCGATATCTCGAATGAACGGCCGTATTTTTGGAAAAAGAGGTCGAGATTGAACCATGCCGACGAGGCGCGTGACGTAACGATATCTCATTTCCTCCTGTCTTCCCTTCGCTCCCTCAAGGCTGCGAGGTGGAGAAGATGCGAGGCCGTTCCCTCTCCTTCTTGGAGGAACACGACGTGAACATTTCTGTCAAATGCGCCTCCTTTTCTTGAAAAATACGGTCATCCGTTAGGAATATTGCTGTATGAGTGATGTTTTGGTGTTTGTAGCATCTCGTTGCACGCTTTTGCTGCGTGTTCTGTGGAATCCAGATTTAGGTTCAGCATCCCTTTAAGCATGGTTACGTCTACGACTCCTGCCCTCGTGGATTCTAAACTTCCTTTCTCGCCCACTCGTTTCTTACAGAAAATGAGATGACATATTCTGGGATGCCTTTGGACCTCTTTTTGAGAGCAAGGTTTTCGCGATCTGGCATAAGCTATAGCGTTCGACCCTGTGCAGGTTTGGTTTAAGGTCTGTTTTTGCATAGACCCCAGCTCTAATGCAGTGCTATTGACAAGGTGCTAACTTTGCGCCGACAGCGTTGCATATGCCAACATGCTGCCCTGACGTCGCACCATTCTCAGTAAAGCTTCTGCGCATGTGTTGTGCACGCGCAGTCTCCATGTCCGATCTGGGCAAACGGTGACTTGTTTCTAGACTTGCACAGATAGTGCGGAGCTAACCAAGCTCTGAAGCAGCACTGCCTTTACTCGTAATGTCGGTTCCTCGGAATCCTTTTAGATTAGCAAACTGCGTCATTTTTCGTTCGGCCAGTTAGTTGGGGAGTATGCTCTGTGAGGGACGTTGGCCGAAACTTAGTTCGTTGCCCATCTGTTTTACCGCGTCCTTTCAGGTCGCGGTGTGCAACTTGGCGTCGATTGCGCTGAACCGCTTCGTGCACGAAGGAAGCTTCGACTTCCAGAAGCTCCGCGAGGTCAGTCAGGTGATCACCAAGAACCTCAACCGCATCATCGACATCAACTTCTACCCCATCCCCGAGGTCAGTGTTTGCGGCATTCGGGCGCATTTCAGGCTAATGTATGGTGCACATTTGGGTTGTAATCTGCGACAGGTTAGGAGTCCAAGAGAGGCTCCACCTCCAGAACATGTGGCCGACGAGGAGGAGCATTTCCTCGGTTAGCTAGGTCGGCTCGGAAGTCTTGGGGTGGGTGCTTGATATCAGACTTGTGCCTGTTACTCTAGAAAAGTAATTAATTACAATTGCAATTACTTAACTTAAAATGTAACTAATTACTGTTACAAATTACTCGGAGTAAAAAGTAGTAAATTAATTCCTTTGTTACCTTACTTTATTACTTTTGCGTTACTCCAAAAAACTCGCAAAAGGCATGCTATGTCTACTGCGTGTTTCTGGGTTGGACAAAAGGCACTCAGTAGAATTTGTCAAATATGTTTACGTTAACTGTAAGAGGTGAGTCTGCAAAATATAAATGACTTAAACTGGTGTTTGAGATACATGGGTCCTGCGCTAATCAACCGAGACAGAGTTACATCACATGAACATACAACGAATACATTTGGGCATTGCCCTTACTACTGCTGGTGGAGGCACACAGACCCATTAAAATAATCCCTAATTCAGCATCGGCAAACTGCAAGACACTGTTCCCCTATGCTCATACTGGCTGCCCCATGTTGCTAAAGAGCAATTTTTCCTCATGTAAATGCTTTAAGGCCCGTTCACACTCTTGCGACCTCTTAAGCCTGGGTTCCTTAAAACTTCTTAAACCAGAGAACACACTGGCGCCATCTATTGGGAAGCAGTGTAAACTTGGCGGTCCGGCATATTTTTTTTTTATTTCTCGCGCATTATCTTTTCTTTTTTGGCTCGAAAAACCTTTGTCAATGTTATAAACGAGCCTTTCTATGGGTATTACGCACATTTGACCTCGGAAATCCCGCAAAACCTTCGCTTTTGTGAAATGCAGTTCTAGGGTCACCGCATAGATGGCGCCACAATGTCAGTGTGTTTCCTCATTCTAGAAACATTTAAGAAGTTGTAAGAGATCTCGTCTCTCTCAGTCGTACTCGGTCGCAAGAGTGTGAATGGGCCTTTAGTAGTGAGAAAAAAATGCTCTACTTGCTTTCGGATACGCTTCGAAGACTGCTGCTTGATGAAGGTTGCTGTCCGACCAAATGACATATTTTTTCTTGATCACCAAATTGAAATGTTAATGCACCAAGTCACAGCGGAATTGAGTTCCGTTAAGAAATTATCAAAAAGTATCATCATCAGTAATCAGCACGCGCCCTCGTCTCGCTCGTTTACAGCCGTTCTCGCCTGTCTCAACTTGAGCATCCATGTCAGCCACTGCTTATTCACTGCTTCTCTTTCCCTAAAGTTTCGGTCTAACTTCCCGCATGCACAGTCTGCTAACGAGAATTCCAACCGGCCCCAACTGGAACTTCCTCCAACATTCTCGTTTCTAAGAATGGGGCTTTTAAATCTGAAGCCGTTTCGGCTATGCTCTCCTGCCTGCTCATTGTTTGCCGTGGAAAGTGACGAGGGTTTTTAGCCAATCTCAGTTTAAACTGGCAGCAGAGTTTGCAGTACAATTTTGCTGTTACAATAAAGCGCCTGTGTCTCATCGCCGACGTATCTTCTGCTTATAAACTTAGTGGGAAGTCACGTGGCACAAAGCGCATAACTGATTGGCCTGCAGTGTTTAGCTTCTGCAACGCTTAGGCATGAACGGGGGCCTGGCCCCACGCTCTTCTTTGTTTCTTTGCAGAACAGGTGCACTTAGGTGGAAACAATCAACGACAAAAACAACACAGACAGGGGAGGGGGTGGGTTATCATCTAAGCCCATTCTCATTTCGGCCTTCTCAAAAGGACCATTCTCAATTGGGCCCGCCGCATCTGGTCTGTTCTTGTTACATCCTTCGCGTCCCATCTTCCAAGAAAAAAAAAAGATCAAATGGGGGCACTTCTAGGTGATGGGTAATGGCTTGGTCACCGCTTATGGCCAAGGAAGCTTCTTCGAATCTGTCCCTCTCGCCTTCCAACTGTCCTACATGCACGCGCTCACATACAAACCCACACATGCTTTGGTCCCCCGGTTTGGCTAATAGTTCCTGGAATACGTCCGTTCTGCTCTTGAAACATGAAGCGGAGGTCAGGGCTCGCTCGTTGGATTGTCTGGAAGTGGTCGGAGGTGCTGGGCAATAAAACACTAAACTGCGTTTTTGTGTCAAAGGAGGGCTTCTGTGCCTCCCTTCTCCCAGGTTGCGGGAGATGGGAGGCACAGAAGTCCACCATACATCTACGCCGGACTCGCTTCTTGGCGTCCGAAGAGAATGAAGCTGCAGCTTAACATCGGTATGCCGTTCAAGCTGTACTTAGTGTGATGTCAGCAACCAAGAGGAAGTTGCAAGCTTTGCAACCTGTTGCTACACCTGTCACAGCTACAAGTTTTAGTGCAAAGTTTTGTCTCATTCAGTTGGATGTTCGAAACGATCTCCTCTGCAGCCCAGTCTGCAAGCATTGTTTGGGCGCTGGACTGATCATCCAAGAGAGTACCTAGCTTGGATTGGCAACAAAGCTTGAGATAATGTGCCCCTTTTGTGGCATTGTTGCGAATTCTGGGACCTTGTCACACCAGCAAGATTCGATGGCCCTTGAGGTGAATTTTCGAGCTATCATGGCCATAAGGCAGATTGGAAAGGGGTAGACAGCTCTGAACGACTTCTGAGCTGCCGTAAATCTCTAGCACAGAGGTCTTCAGCACAAGACGTTCCAGGACGGACAGCCTACGGCCTACTACGCCAACTGCAACAACGAACATCATTTCCAGTGGTGGGAAGGGCCCATAAGAGCTATCGCTGTAAAAGGCCATTATCTGTCGGACAGCTGCAATGTAGGAGGCACTATAAAAAAACAACTGGAATAATGCATCAGTGGGTGTCTCAGATGTGCTAGTATGGTGCTTAAACTGGACTAACACTTTACTTAGTGGCAGGGATGGTCAAGGAAATTTGAGTCATTAAAAATGAAAGAAAACTAAATAAATAAACCTATATGAATGTTTAAAGGCAGAAATGAATGTTAAATATTTAGGGTTTAGCTAATTTAAGGTTTAAAATTTAAGGTTTAGCTAATTACAACATTACACAACACTTGTAACTAAAAAAACTTGCCAGGCATGTATCAAAGCGCATGGAAACTTGGGCACATTTGTGCTGTACAAAAGACTGATGAGAATGATACGACTAATGCTGACAACATACAGTAGTTGTAACAGAGGACACTAAGCACAATGTGCTTGAAAATGCAATGGAACTTTAACTCAGTTAAACAGACACGAAGCAGGAGACAGATCAGTAATCCTGTCGGTGACAATGTTCACTTAAAGGGCTACTCCACCAATTTTTTCATTGTCTCCGATTTGCTTGAAATTTTGCTAAACTAACCAACAAACATCGCGAAAATAGTACCCCAAATATTAGGTCAAAATATTGTTTTTTCGCGAAGTTATTGAATTTACAGTTTTGGTCTTCACCGTGTTTTTCAAGCTCGAAGTCTCTACTGGCAACAATGAAAAAGTGACGTCAGTGGAAGACAGGGGTTCACTCTTTGGGCTGTAGATTTTGTTTTAAACTGATTCGAAGCAGTTTCATGGTGTCAAATGAATGCTTGGGAAGCTCGCTGCAGCACCCGCGCTCCAGCACGGAACAAATGATTGGCATATTCTATTTTTTGGCTGCTTGCTCGACTGGCAAGCCTGCCTGCCACTGACGTCACGGCCCTGAAAAGCACGCGTATATTTGAATGTTGGTTTTTGCATCATTTTCATTTGCCGATTTCGCAATAACTATTATGAATTTCGCGATTCTAAATAGCATACCGGAGAGAGTAAAGGCCGGGGAGTCAGAAAATATAGTTAGTTGAGGTAGCTCAAAAAATCGGTAGAGTACCCCTTTAAGGATATGGCAAGAGGACCCGTGTTACAATGCAGTTTCTCTCATTCTTTCTGGTATTCCAGTTTGCAGTTTTGAAGTGTGCCACGGCACCGTTTCTTTACGCTCACTTCCTTTTTGCACCACTAGCAGCAGGTCTACTAGAAGGCTGCGTGCCGGGCTTCATTGGAGAGGCTACGTGCCAGCCAGAAGGGTTCCGCGGGCCGGGGTTTGGAGACCCCTGCTCTGAAGGAAGCACTTGTCCCAACTTAGTCTGTTTCGTGTTGCAGGCAGAGAAGTCCAACAAGAGCCATCGCCCCATTGGAATCGGAGTGCAGGGTTTGGCAGACACATTCATCTTGCTGCGGCTGCCCTTCGACTGCGAGAAGGCTCGTCTGCTCAACAAGCAGATCTTCGAGACCATCTACTATGGGGCGCTGGAGGCGAGCTGCGACCTGGCCAAGGAGCTTGGCCCCTATGAGACCTACCCAGGTTGCCCGGTGTCCCAAGGGGTCAGTACGCAATCCCAATATCTAGCGGCCCGTCTGCGTTATTTTTCTGCGTTTTCGTTCTTCTAAGATTCATAATGTCTGCTCACATGGTTCTCTTCATAAAGTCCTGCTCGTAAGGTTTGTCAGGTTCTGACCAGTTTGGTTTATTAAATTTTGTCTACGAGATTTGGGACATAGTGCTCACCGTTCTGCATGACCATAAGGCTCATAGGCTCCGTTCCTTTATGATCTAGATACCTTGGATAGTAATTAGGCCAGCTACCATTTTCTGAATCATTACGAAAACCCCGATACTGGGGCAGGAAAGGGAGAGGACAAATGGTCTTTTTGTTTTAAACCCTAATCTTATAAATGTTTCTTTTTTTTTAAATTTATGTTTAATTTACATCAGCTTGTTTGTCGTTCTTAGATTTTGTTAATTGATTCCACTTTGCGATTGCTTTGTGCTGCTTCAATGAAGTTTGAGTCCCACATAATTTGGAAACAAGATTATGTGGCACGGCTATGCCTGAGCCAATCAAAGTGTTATGATGTCATGAAACACAAAGAGGGCCCCCAGGCCTCGTGTCCCGCAATTACCCGAGATCGGGTCGCACACACTTGCCTGTTCTCGGTACTGCCTGGAGTTCTAAGGGGTTTTTGTCCCCCTCCGGTCCTCCGCTCTATATCTCAATCGATGGGCGAGGAGGTTTCTCCTCGCCCATCCTGGGGCGCCTGCCACGCCATCCAGAGGCTAGGAGAGAAAGCGGCACGTCGGGAGCCGAATTTGAGATCCCTAATCCAAATCGACCCCGCGGCGACACGACTATGTGATCGTGTATGAGGCGAGGCAACTGCATAGCCGCCTCGCGGCAAAGATGCCAGAGTGGTTTGATGGGTGCCCTCTTATAACTTTCAAAATAAAAATGTTTGGACAAAAAACATGCACTATAAACTAATAAAAAAATGGTTCTGAAGCTGCATTTCGCATTGGCATTCTTGCATTTAGCAGTGCTAGCTTCAGCTGTCCTCTCCATCCTATGAATACAACAGGTTCACGCTTTCAGTGTGATAAAAACACAACCCCTCCTCCCTCCAAGAAGCACAAAATTCAAATTTGGGGGTTTTACGTGCCAAACCAACAACGGGCATCTGACACGCCCCAGCGGAGGACTGAGGATTAATTTTGACCACCTGGGGATCTTTTGACGTGCAACCGAAAGCTCGGTTACACAACGCCACAATTAGTATGGTCCAAACTGGAAACCAGAATGGTGGCTTTTGTCGTTGTCCAAAAGTACATTGGCCCATGTACCGAACAAACCTCGACGAGATAAGCGGGAAACTCCCTTTTGTCCAAGATAAAGAAAACTGAGTTGGCCTTTCATTAGGACCACTGACCCTATGCTGCGAAAAGCTTTATTCGTAAAATACCATCTATTTTATACATTTTTATTTAACCATCGTGACCTCGAAATTCTGAGTTCTTCGGATAAATCCAAATTGTGGAAAGTTTTACCCACGAGTTTTATTGGATTTATCTGAAAACACTGAACCCCTAGCTACAGACCAAAACTGTGCTTGACTATTAGTAACACCAAGCACAGCAAATGTTTCAATTTAATAAAGAACAATCTAATTTGATTGAGCAGCCAAGTCGTAGTCTTGTCACTTATGGTTGCCCGCTACTATTTCGGTAGTACCTTGCCATGGCTGTGTTCTCCGTTTGCAGTTGCTACGGTTTAATGCGCAAGAATAGTTAGTATTCGAGCCATTCGTGCAAGTTGACGATTTGGTTTTTCCACATCTGTTCCAGATCCTCCAGTATGACATGTGGGGTGTGACGCCAACAGACATGTGGGATTGGGCTGCTCTCAAGGCAAGGATTGCACAGTGAGTGCTTTGTTTTTGTTATGTGAAGAGATAACCTGATCAAGGAGCTGCCTTTTAGAATGATTGGCATACGCTTAATGAGCCATGCTGACTTGGACTACAACAGTTGCCATGTTTCACAAAAAGCGAAGTTGTACATGTTCGTCGCTTTAAATCACAAGAACAGGGGGAGATTGTACATTTGCGACGGAATAGGTAACTTTGTTCATATTGTTTATTCAAACCTAGAATAAAAAAAAAACTGCTACTACATGCATTGTGGACTTTTGCTGAACAAAATACAGTATAGACCACTTACAACGTAACCGCTTATAGTGCAGGACCGGGTATAACGCGGCTTTTTTAAACCACCGGTTCGCCTCCCATAGAACTCCATGTAATTACATACCGCTTAAAATGCAGGTGCACGAAGGGAAATACCGGTTATAGTTTGGTTTCTGGAACAGCCTGCCGACCGTGCCGACTAACCGGCGCAGCGAGCACGCTTCCCTGTGCGACACTAGATAACGGCACGAGCCGGCCGCAAGCGGCACTCGCGGGGCAAGGAGTTTGCTCAAAGAAGCGGGGAGAAGCGAAGAGAGAACCTTCAGTTGCCATAGCGGCGGAGGGACGCACGCATGTGTCGTTCACGTGCGTGCGTCCCTCCGCTGCGTTGGAAACAACCGCAACGACAGACCAATCGCAGGTCAAGGAGAAGTGTTTGTGCGCGTTGCATGCCGGTCGCGGGCCGGCTGCTTCTATCCGCAAACATGGCGTCGGTTGTGATCGTCGTCGTAGACGGCGTTCATCTCATCGGTCCGCGTAAAAGCGCTATCCTTGACTGTAAATTTTCGTTGTGTGTCGCTATGATAACCCAGCACATACTAGAAGGGAAGATCCACCTACTCGTGCGGCGATGTCATGGCGGCGCTCTCAAGACGGCAGAAACGCCCGTGTCGTCGTATTTGTCTACTTCGACTACAGTGGTGATTTCAAAGCATTTGTTTCCTCGGACATCACCCGGATTTCTTATTTGGTGCATTTCATGCGTGTGCTCAAGTTAAAGGTATTACTGGCGCGTACCGTATAAAGGGTGCGAATTTTCACGCGTTTTCATCTCCGGAGAAAAGTGATTAGGGTTAGCAATCCTGAACGCTCGCAACGTCCATCCGCAACCCGCGACGCCGTTAAAAGGCTGCGCCAGGCAAAAGTCGCTCATTTCTTTCGAAATGTGTGACACACTTGAGACAGAACTGTACTAGTCTGGTGAAATAAAGACTTTCCTCAAACTAAGCTTTATTTTTCATCTAACATAAAATAAATTTTTTTACAAAGGCGAGTTGTCTGATGGCATGTATTTTGGCCTGAAAAATTGATATTTTTGTTATAGCGCTTTCGAAATGTGTGACACACTTGAGACAGAACTGTACTAGTCTGGTGAAATAAAGACTTTCCTCAAACTAAGCTTTATTTTTCATCTAACATAAAATAAATTTTTTTACAAAGGCGAGTTGTCTGATGGCATGTATTTTGGCCTGAAAAATTGATATTTTTGTTATAGCGCGGTACCGCTTATAGCGCGGATTTTCGCGACTCCCACGACATACGTTATATGCGGTCTATACTGTATCTTCAATCTCTGCTTTTAGGCGCCAGTTTCCGGCTTGAGCAGTGTCGGCGTAACCGTAACGCATCAGCGTGACGTGTCGCTGTCAACCATAACTTGCGGCGTATTTGCGTGGTGCATTATGGGACGTTTCCCCATGATGCACTGCACGGGAGGGAGGGGGCGGAAGAGGAGGGAGGAGAAAGAGGGGGAGGAGGCAAGGAGCATGGGAGTAGATAAGGAGTGAGGAGGAGAGGGTATGGATGAGAAGGAGGGGCATATTGTCCCTTCCGTACCCTCCTCTCTTCCTCCTTCAAGAGCTGCACTCTAATTCGGCATTACAGAAAGTTGTAACTATCTTTTCTTTTTTCTTTTTTTTATTAGTCAGCATTAAAGAAGGAGCAAAAAAATCTGAGGTTTTTGTCATTGCTGCTTCCTGATTCAAACCATTGGCCCGTTTTGCTTCCTTCGCTTGCAGGTACGGCGTTCGCAACAGCCTTTTGCTGGCACCCATGCCGACGGCGTCGACAGCACAGATTCTTGGCAACAATGAGTCGATCGAGCCATACACCAGCAACATCTACAGCCGGCGGGTGCTTTCCGGAGAGTTCCAGGTACGTATCGGAACCATTCACACGTGCTGTTGCTGTGCCTACGGGTGTGGTTAGTTTTCACATCATCATAGGACGCGTGGAACGCAGGATTTGGGGAGTGATCGTTTAACTTTTTTTGAAACCCATTCTAGAGTTGCTTCGGAAAGGGAAGAGCATATTGCTGTATTCATTTCCCACTAAATGTAGTGTGAAAAAAGACATCGCGCAACGTCGTGGCATCATGCGATTTTCCAACTTGACACTGTCGCGTCACATGGTGTCACACGGTCCAACATCGCAAGATGTCCATTTCCCTGCGGAGTTTAATGGGGAAATCCGCGGATGCGCTGGCCAGTTTCTTCGCTGGCGGCCATAACCGAACTCGCTGCCATCGAGCACGTGCCTATGGCAAGCTCCCGCAACGCTTCCAACACGCACATTGCACATCGAGATTGTCTTCTTTGGGAGACTGTCAATAAGAACTCGTCCCGAGCATTCGCCGTGAGCAGTCGCCTCAAACATGGCGTCCGGTGAATGCCACCTATTGGTCATGTGATCGCAGGTGGTGAACCAGCACCTCCTCAAGGATCTGACGGACCGCGGGCTGTGGAACGAAGATCTCAAGAACTCCCTCATCGCCAACAACGGATCTGTCCAGGTAACAAGCTACACTTGTAGCGGACGAAGTGAGGATGGCCACAGTCTGCTGCGTCTCTTTACGTTGCGATGGAACGCAACCAACGGGATGTCGGTTTGGGATGATTGGACCTCTACCTAAGACGACACTTTTGCCCACGGTGCGCGGGACGGTCCAATTAACCCCGTCGTCTCAACGGTCCCCAGGAGCTGGACATTCCCGACGACCTGAAGGAGCTGTACCGGACGGTCTGGGAGATTCCTCAGAAGAACATCCTGCAGATGGCCGCAGACCGGGGAGCGTTTGTGGACCAGAGCCAGTCGCTGAACGTGCACATCGCCCAACCCAACTATGGGAAACTCACCAGCATGCACTTCTTCGGCTGGAAGCTGGTACGGCGTACGCTCCATACTTTACGTTTTACCTCAAATTATATTGTATGCTATGCAGAATGACTTGTAAGACGAGCTTTATTGCAACGGAAAGCGGCTGTACACAAATGCGTTTAAATGTTCCGAACGTTCACAGAAGGTGGTGTACTCCATTGATATTTGCGTGTCTTTCGCCGTTTAATTTTTTCACCAGGGCCTCAAGACCGGCATGTACTACCTGAGGACGAAGCCAGCAGCCAGTGCAATCCAATTCACAGTTGACAAGACTGCACTGAGGAAAAAAGAACAGATGAATGCTGTCACCTGTTCTCTCAAAAACAAGGATGAATGTTTGATGTGTAGTGCATGATCACGCACGAGACGGTCCGCTCCAACTTGCGCCAATCCAGTCTGCACTTCGGTCGACTTGTTTCTGTCGTGTCCTTAATATCCTTTTTTGTGCATTTATACTTGCGGACTTCAGTTTCCTTGCCTTTGGACGGAAGTCAATTTTTCTTGTATTGCGGTTGTTTTTATTGTCACCACTGCACTTTTTTAGCTGTGATGCCCACTTAATTTTTTCACTATTTGTAATGGATAATGTGTTTGAACAGTGTTTCTTTACCAGTCTTTGAAATCATTTACCTATTGTGTTTTGTACAGCATCTACTTTAGAGAAGTCACTGCCAGTTGCAGACTGTGATACCTCATATGTTTGATGCCTCAATTGTTTGGTTATATTTTTTAAAGAACAGTCTGCCATAAAGATGCTTTTTTTTTAGTTTTGTAGGTAAACCATTTACGTAGCTCCAAAGGATATCTGAAAACATGTTTGTGACTTTGCAGAAGCAGAGTGAAGTGTGTTCTTGTGCACCCAGAGAAACTTCTACAATTTGTAGAGCAATTGAGTTTTGCGGAGAAGATTGGTGTTGCTGTCGAGTTATTCAGCAGAATATCAATAGACTTTGCAAGTGCACGCCTACTCGGTTTTTAATCTAACTTTTATTTGCTAGAGCATTTAAAGCTTCTATCACCAAAGCCGTGCACCCCATGGCATTTTATACTTTATTTGAAGTCGGTAGCAAAAGTTTGCGGGGCACGGGAAGCCGAAAAGACTGGCTGCACCTCCTGGGGGCGCGTTGCTGCTCTCGGGACTTTTGTGTTCGCAGTCACGTTTTCTTTGCTCGGTTCCACCGGACGCGGCACAGTCACCCATTACGGTGGCGGAGGCAGACACCCGGCACGACTGCCGACATAGCGGCACCTTGCACCGGTCCCGGCTATCTCATGCACATTGGACAAAAGCAAGTAAAAGAGACGCAACTGTAAGCACAAAAGAAGGCGAATTCTTGAAGCATGAATCTTGAGAACGGCCGCGCACCGTCAAAAGGCGCACAACCAGTCATTTCAGCTGGTGCTCTCTCAAACTTTCTGCCGACGGTACTAGTGGAGTATTCGTCTCGTTTTTTATGCGGAGTTTGTGGCTGGAGCATATATAAGGCAAAACCGTGTGCTCTATGGTGCTTTGTAGTTCATGTTTTAATTAAGTACTCTTTTTTTTTTTTTTCTGACGAAATTTGGCTTGGATGTTGGTATTCTGTCGCAACATTCACCTCTATTCGGAACACTGTTTTGGCTTGTTCGAATTTTTAATTGATCACTATAAAGTAGACATGATGCCATGAAGTTCTTGCATCGTTGAAGCAAATTTCTGCAAATAAAAGCAACATTCACTATTAGGTGCTAGCACGAGGAATTGCTTTCAATGTGTTCAGCGAACCTTCTGAACTTTATAAATCCCGTTACTTTCATGTTTTAGCCACACATGTAGAAGAATGTTTTTTTTTTGACCTCATTGGCTGTTACCCACCTGAAACTCTGGAATGGTCAGTTCCAGTATGTGGGTATCCATTCGGTTCTGGGAGTCTTCGACGGTCAGTTGAAAAGTGACAAACGGCGAATTGAGGTTCTTGCACTGGTCGGAAACCGCCGCCACGCCGATCTTCCACCTGACGTCGACCAGCTAGAAAGATTGAATGCACACCTTTATTTTTAGAAATAAAAACTTAATTCGAATTGCAGACAAGAGTCGAAAGAATCCTTGCCTTTCCATACGGACTGAACTCCGACGAACTTGATCCCTGATGGATACATTTTGTCAAACATGGAACACCTTGTTGCTCTACGTTCGCACTACGACGCCTGGACCAAGTCTTCGCCTGGTACATTTACCAACAAATGCATCGAAACTGGTCCTGAATCATCGACGAATTGTGTCTCGGAAGTCGGTTTTCGTGCTGGCGGTGCATTGTACAAATGTTGGCGAAAAAACGAGCGGATGCAAGGATCGTCGTCGCAGCATCCCAACTCGTCTGCTTTGGTTTCCATCAGCTGTGGCAGTTGAGAGACCTGCAGCAGAGCGAGTGTCTGCCAGATCTACTTCCACCACCAGCATCAAACAGACAAACTTTTACGGAGTCATCGGGCGGAAATGGAGAGGCTACTTTTGGGGGCGCGGTAAACGCACCGGTCGGAGACGCGCCAGGCGCCGTAGTTCAAACGAAAGAAGCAGACAGTTTTAGTACCTTCGATTGCAGAAGTTCTTTGAGGACGTCTGCAACACCGGGGTCGAGGAACAGTTGTTGCAGCGTCGTGGACATCGCAGCTTCTTTTAGTCTACTGAAGCTTCTGAAAATGTGCGTACAGTTCAAAGTTTCGCGAACGCCTTCGGTTGACAAGTTGCCGGTACTCACGCCAACATGCAACTGGCGGCTTCAACTGCCTCGTGAAGTTCTCGTGGTGTCAGGTTGCACGACTCCGCTTTCTAGAATGAAGGAATCGGAGCGTTTTATAAAGCAGCGTGAATGAATTCATGGTTTGCTTGTAGCACGAGAATTTACCTCTTCGATATTCTGCGAGCGTGTGGCGTCAGTCGCCGACCTAAGCTGCAAAAAAGGGCCGCAGTTTGTTCACACGTCTTGGTAAGCGGGGAAACTTGGTAGCGATCGGATGATTACCAGAGCCTTCTGCACGTCGACGGGGTACTTCTTCAGCGTCTCGGCAGCGGCTAACAGTCCTGCGTCAAAACCAGGGTTCTTGTTAGCAGCAGTTTTAAGATTGCCGCCCACCTATAAATTGTGCTTTGAACTGTGTCAAGAGCACCGGTCTGCGGACGTACTAGATTACTCCTCCGGTCCCGTAGGACGCCAAAGGCATTCATGATAACAAAATCTTAAAACTAATCTACTGATCTTTCCAAATCTTCAAACTGACACCAACCTTTCCCAACTTTCGACATATCGGCGACGGCAACTAACAGGATAGCGCTAGCGGATTGGATTGGATTGCAGTGGCTCTGGTAACTGGCTCTACCTACTGGCTCCACCTGTTGAATGGTCCCAAGCGTCCCAAGTTTCGTTTCCAATCTCGTCAGAATTGCCAAAATATTTGGCGAGCTGTTCACTTGCGATGAATGACAGGTGGATGGGCGGCTTATTTAGCTGCGTTTGGTCTTCTTTTCTTGAAAAAATCTGTGTTTATTTTGCTTTGTTTTCTCTTCTTATCACGCACTTTCCAACGATTTCCCAGGTGGCATCTATCGCAGATGAATGACCTGATGAGGGAAGCGAAGCGCAGTTTGAGCCAAGCAAAGTTGCAAAAAAGGTTGTGGCTCCGAACTTCGTAATGCTTCCCTACCCGTATCTGTCGGCGGACGTCGTAAGGCGCTGTCTCCAACGTAACATTCTCGAACTCGTTCGCACGCTTGAAGATGGACTGCGAAGGTTTTCGCTTGGACCACAGGGCGGCATCGTTCAACCCGTCAGGAATACCATTGCTCTCCAGAATCAAAATGGGCAAGTCGTTTTTGTTTCTTTTATAATTATTCGGAGTAAAACTTTCTTAAATCTGTTGCAACATAAGATCCGCCTCCAGCGCGCGCTATCGACCGGCGCACGCGAAGCCAAGCACGCCGCAAGGTAACAACTGCATATGTAGCGCCAAGAGTTTCAGAACCTACCTTTATCGATCGATTCAAAAGTTAGATATCGGAAATTTTCAATAGGGGTACGGCGAGTAACGCCAATTACTCGAATTATTAAGTTCTCAAACGTCTGGCACCTGCTTCGGACCGCTTGCGTTGGGCGAAGACTGTGCGCTCTGCGATGCTTAGTTTATTTTTACGCTAAGAAAAACGCGCTTCTCTATAATTCCAAGCGATCGTGTCACCTGTCAAAGTTATTGGATAGACTCACGCATGCGTAAAATAAGTTCAAATAAATGTTGTCGCCTTTTTTTTTTCGCTTTTTACATGCTTTTTTTGCGCATTTAGGATGCTACTGTCCATGTCGGCGCACAGCATCGATGATGGTATCCTCGCCACGAAAGTTGTTACTTACCTTCCGGAAAATAAGCCGCCCCTTCCGACCATCCAAGGCAACGTGCTCCTGTTTGACGCCCACACCGGCTCCTTGAAATGCGTGCGTACCAGCCGTCAAGATGTAGTAGTGTGCAGAGCGAATCTCGGATAACGCAGGGCCATCCTTGGGACGTCCTTTCAGGATGTATGGGATGTTCCTTGGGCATCCTAAAATCGCTGGACAGGGCATTCCAAACATGTTCCTGTTTGCTCCCAAATAAGTCCTTTTTGAAACACCCAAGTATGCCCCGAGGAGCTCGCAGGGATATCTCACGGGAGCTTTTTAAGATTCCAAACAAGGACATTCTCGGGCATTGAATCCCGTGCTGGGACCTGCTTCAATTCTATAATAGAATCGGCAAAAACGTGGACGTTTTAGATCCCGACTTTCCCCTGCAAGATTCTATTGTTGTTCCATGAAAGGGATCGAATGTATGCTACGCAAGTGAAGTCATTAAAATGAGATCCACATTTATTAAATCTTATCATATCATAAAAAGTGACAATGTTGCTTAACATTGCAACGCTAGAACACGACTTCAGTTAAAAATGACACCTTGAATAAATACGGCCGTGATACTGAGGAACATGAGATTCTTCATACTTCAATATTCCTAAATAATAAAATTCTTTGTGTTCACTGAGAAAAAAGAAAAGGAAGGGAAAATTAAAATTGGAATTACTGGTAAAGTAAGTACACGGTGACTTACTGACTGAACAACAATATGACGGAGTGAACAGATCAAGCGTATCAAAAAATGATTTAAAAAATACCTTGAAAAAGAACCATTAAAGTGACAATTTGTGCCAGTTGGTTCATAAACAAATAGGTAAGCGCCAAAAAAAAAAAAAATACAGACAACGAAGTAGACAAACACGCAATTAACCTTTATTTGAAAACAAAACACACGCACATATATACATACATACACACACGCACACACACACACACACACACACACACACACACACACACACACACACACACATATATATACCGGGTGTTTTTGCGGAGACTTTCAAAAATCCTAAAAATTAGGGTGATTGAAAAAAGAAGAAACTCTCTTCGGGAACAAACTACCAGCCACGGCGGACGTCAGGAATTGCCAAAAACCTACTAATTAGCCAGATAAATAATTAAAACTTGTTAATTAACTTTTTAATTAGGGGAAATAGACATATGGTTCCAATTAAAAAGTTGCTGAGCGTTATCGAAAACCACTAAATCAGTCATTTTCAGAAAGACTTTGAGCGCGTGAGACGAGTAGTAGCGCACTAAAGTTACCACTCGTGGAGCAGGTACAAGGCTAACGGTTGCGGTAAGGCGCCCGCGCGATTTTTCCGCCTCTTATCTAGCCCCAGCCTTGTACCTGCTCCACGAGTAGTAATTTTAGTGCGCTAGTACTCTTCTCAAGCGCTTAAAGTCTTTCTGAAAATGACTGATTTAGTGGTTTTCGATAACGCTCAGCAACTTTCTAATTGGAATCATATGTCTATTTCCCCTAATTAAAAAGTTAATTAACAAGTTTTAATTAATTATCTGGCTAATTAGTAGGTTTTTGGCAATTCCTGACGTCCGCCGTGGCTGGTAGTTTGCTCCCGAAGAGAGTTCCTTCTTTTTTCAATCGCCCTAATTTTTAGGATTTTTGAAAGTCTCCGCAAAAACACCCGGTATATATATATATATATATGGGTGTTTTCATATCAAATCGTGCAGGCAAAAAGGGTCAAATCTTTAATTTCGCTGAAAAAAAAAATATGTTATGGCGCCGTCTCTAAAAACGCAGTAGCCACAAATCGCAAGTTCGTCGGATTTTTTGTTCTCGACTTATGGATTTTAAGACCGCAGCGGAAAGCAGTGTTTTTCACATCCGTCGTGGGTCGGATGTTTCGCTCGGTCTCCCGCCGTGGATTTTCAGTCCACATTATATTAACTTTTTGCAAGCACTCTGTGAGACTATTTAAATCGCTCTAATACCATGAAATAGTTTTAGGCGTTTTAATTTTATTTCTGTTAAAATGTCAAAAACGCCCCCTCAGTCAATTTTTGACGAACTTTGACAATTAAATACTGGCGATCTACTTGCGTTACATCAGTATTTTTTTATGTCTACGGAGAGCCCAAAACACGCTCTTTATATGTATTATAAAATGACTCAGTTGTATAAAATATCCTTTGCGGGACGTTTATGTTAATATTATGTGAAAACTAAAAAGTACCAATTTGAAAATCGATTTTCTCAAGAAACCATTTTTGTTTTTGTTAAAATGTAGATATGGTAGTTGTCTACTCGAAACTCGAGTCGAGGAAGTGTGTATTTTGTTTGTATGTTCTATACTTAAGCCTCAATATCGGAAAAAGCCGTCTTCGTTTTGCGAGACCTGTCAGACATAGCGACCCGTGCGTTATATGAATTGTGGAAAAGTCTTGTTGAATTTTTGTCTGCGTTTTGTAATCAATTATAAACGTATTTCGTGGTATTGAATAGTTATTTTTGTGTTGATAAGAGCGGGAAACCACGAGAAACATAACTAACCATATCGGCAGGCCTACTAGATCTTCAATATCCAGGAGGCGCAGACGTTGTATTGTTTCGATTTATGAACCTTTCTCTGTAAACCAGCATGACTAGTAATTACCTGTCATATTACTAAGACATGGAAAGTCACCACATCATTGACATATTATATACAACTCTTTCCTAAACCAAACGCTAGGGTTTGTTCACGGTAGGGTTTGTTCATCAGGGAATATCCTTTCACTTCCGCAATACACAAAAGTGATGACACAGAAACGATCCGAAACACGCGGAGAAAGTGTCACGGAGAGGGGTAGGGAATAAAAATAAATAAATGAGATAAAATTACCCAACTCCGATCTTAACGAAAATTGCGTTAAAAAAATAAAAAGATTTAGGTTCGAGCGGTGGCAAGGCGATAGGTTCACGCCTGGTGGAGAGTCAGACAAAGAAGTCGACGACACGTAAAGGTAAAATTAAAAAAAAAAAATAATAATAATAATAATTTAATAAAGACGGGAAAACTCAGCCGCACATGGAAAGAACAAAAACCAACTCCTTCCGGCATTCCCTAAACGGGACTCAACCAAATGCGTGCGAACACGCTCTCTACGTCACCGCCAGGCCGCTACACCATGACGAAAGAAGCCCAACAACTGAACAGTGCTAACAAACAGTTAGTAAGAAAACATTGAAAAAAAAAAGTTCAGCAAAACCGCGCCCGAGAAACAAAGTTTAGCGGGGCGAACAAAGACACATTAAATAAAAAAAAAAAAAAAAAAAGTCTTAACTGACCGACGCCGAGTCCAGTCCCACGACACTGAAGCCTGGCAGGATGACGGTGTCCAGATGTTGCTCAATTCTGTTCTTCACTCTATTACGCACATCCACGACGGCTATGCGGAACAGTGGCTGTGCGGAACAAAGTGAAGAACAGATTCAAGCCGCGATGCGCGAGAAGGTAACCGAGACGTAACATGCCTCGAGCTTCATAACGGGAGGAAGCTTTCGAGGTAGTTACTGCAGTTACTCAAACTTTCTCTTTCCCCTTCCCTTAAAAAAAAAAAACAAAAAAAAAAAACACGTCAGTTGGCACTAACTTTTCATCTCGGGAGAAGGCCACTCTTCACAAACGGTTATATAGTTGGCAAGGAAGTATGTTTACCAACACGCTCGTTTTTAATGTCAGTCTCCGGGCTTTGCTGTTTCCAAAAGAGATAACCCTTCGATGCTATCGGATCTCCGCGAAGAGAGATGTTCGCCGCGTCAACGACATATTCGTACCATTTCACTCCCCGTGACACAGGGTGCGCTGCTCGCTTTACTGGCACGGGCCGTCCTATCTAACTCAACGAGTGCGAAAGGTCGTGGTCATCTGCTGGTTCCGGAAGGGCGGGACGTTCATATAGGCCCAATGAAGGCCCCGAATCAATACGACGTCTGCCGATTTCTACACATTAAAAATTTACGACACCTGATGGTCTGTTTAGAAGTGTTGCTTTCTCTTTTGAACTCCTGCAATGTAGCTTGCCGTCTATAATAAAATTTAAATAATCAATAAATAGGACAGGGTGGACCTGCTGTATTTCATTTTTATGTGGGAACGTTGAAAAAAGGCAAAAATATTTCACCGTTTGTGAAGGCAAGTCGCAAGTCCATTTCGAGCCGTAAAAACACGTTTTTGTACGATATTAATGCTTAAATATAGAACATACAAACAATATAACACTTTCTCGACTTGCTCTTCGTGTAGACAACTATAATATCTACATTTTAACAAAAAAAAAATAAAAAAAAGGTTTTTGGAGAAAATCGATTTCAAAAACGGTACTTTTTGGTTTTCGCATAATATTAACGTAAACGTCCCGCAAAGGATATTTCATACAGCCCGAGTCATTTTATAATATATATAAAGAGCGTGTTTTGGGCTCTCCGTGGACATAAAAATTATTAATGTAACCCAAGTAGATCGCCAGTAATTAATTGTCAAAGTTCGTCAACAAATTAATTGACCAAGGGGGCGTTTTTGACATTTTTACAGAAAAAAAAAGCAAGAAGCCTAAAACTATTTCATTGTATTGGTGCCTTTTAAATGTGTTCACAGAGTGCTTGAAAAAAAGTTAATATAATGTGGACTGAAAATTCATGGCGGGAGTTCGAGCGAAACATCCGACCCACGACGGATGTGAAAAACACTGCTTTCCGCCGCGGCCTAACAAAAAATCCGACGAACTTGTGGTTTGTGGCTACTGCGTTTTTAGAGACGACGGCATAACATATATTTTTTTTGGGCGTAATTAAAAATTCGGCCCTATTTGCCTGCACAATTTGAGATGAAATCACCCACATATATATATATATATATATATATATATAGCCGTGAAACAAACAGTCCTGGCTAATTCCGGTGTAACCCCCGTAACAAAAGATAGGATCTTACACGCAGGGAATTCGATTTCGATTTACTTCAGTATCTTCTCCCCTCGGAAATACACCAAATTAGGGTGGTATGCCTATGCTTATATTTGATCGTTACTTCGCATCGCCCTCGCCTCCTGTGCCAGCACAAAGCTAAGCAAAATGCGTTTATTTTCTGGTTTTTTATCCGTGAAATAATCGGTGCAGGGAGAAATTCGACCTGACACTTGTCTTGCCCTGGCTGACATGCATCTAAAAACGTCGTACGTGATGCATGCCCCACGTAGGTCTTCTACTGGACATTGACATTAAGTTAATCCCTTGGAAGTCTTGCGAATGTCCCATATAGGACGTGGGGTTCTTTTTGGGGTGTCCCTGGGATGACTATGTGTTATCTGGAAACCGACTTTAAATCAATAAAAACATTCCTTTTTAATATGAAATCTATGGGGGCGAATATTTGATACATTTGTTTTTTTGGAAAAATCTCCAGGTAATATCTTTCTCATTAGCTGCAAATACATAAAACCTGAATTAACGCCAATTTTGGGCGTATTCGGGCATTTGACTCGATAAAAACAGTGAGTTGATGTAATGCAGGTGTCTTTTTTTTTTTTTTTTTTTAAGCTTCCCCGATTTGTTTAAAAAGAGCTGTGAAAGTTACACTTGTGCGGTTTGTGCGGGCCAGGGGTACATATGTGGATGGCTAATCTTTGCGATAAGTCGGCTAATTAATTAAAATTCGTGAATAAACTTTTTAATTAGTAAAAAGAGACATATGGTTCCAATTAGAAGCTTACTGGGCGTCATCGAAAACCGCTAAATCAACTCTTTTCAGAACGACTTGAAGCTCGTGGGAAACTCGGGGGCGCGCCAAGGTTACCACTCGTGAAGCAGGCACAAAGCTAGCAGTGCCGGAACGCGGATAAGATTATCATTCGTGCCAAGTCGTTCTAAAAAGAGTTCATTTAGTGGTTTAATTGGAACCATATGTCTATTTTCACTAATTGAAAAGTTAATGCACGAATTTTAATTAATTAGTCGACTTACCGCAATGATTAGCCATCCACATAATGTTCCCCGTGCTCCACGGTGGGCATGCGCGTCGTCGTCGTTTGCCAATCAAGGCGCAGTTTGGGTCTCCGTGCAAGAACACGCAACGCAAACCGACTGCGCTTGCTCGTATGCGCAGTACTAAAACTCGCTATTGTGGAGAGTTCTGAGATAAGTTCTTCCACGTTATCACGAAGTAAATTCACCGGCTATTATAGCCATCACATGGTGCATTGCATCTATACAGAACAGTTAAAAAAAATGTTCTCGGTCTTTGGGTACACGCTGTATTTGCAAAACCGAAAGTGAAGCGCTCTATTGATGCTCCTGATCTATAATGGACTAAATTTGCAGATGATGGACGCTGTAGAAATGACTGCGTACCGCACTGCTGCTGCGTCAGCGGTGGCGACTAAGGTAACGACAAAGATCGCAACTCGTTATGCTGCGAATTTTCACGCACGTCTCTTAAGTTGTATGCACGTTTTGTGTTTTTTCTTTCAGTACTTGGCGACAGAAAACCCGAAAATTCTTGCAGTGTTCGGATCTGGAACTCAAGCTAAGAGCCATATTGTGGTTCTTTCTAAGATGTTCGATTTTCAAGAAGTACGTATGTACGTTCTTCGGAGGGCACACTGGAATGCTGCTTTCAGCTTCTATTTGATTGGCTTTTCAACCGTTTAACTGCACTGCTAACTCTTTGGTCGCCATTTTCAAAGTGTACATTTCTTTGGTTTGGCTGCATGGCTCAGCAAGGTATACATATGCTCTCGTGTAACGGAGTTTCCTTCTCGTAATTTTTGTAAGCCTTCAATCGTGACAGGTTCGAAAGCGATGTACTTTTAATACGAGTACCTCGTTAATTCGTTATTCTCTGCGCATGCACGATAGATTCGTATCTGGAACCATAGAGAGGAGTCGGCTCTCTCATTGGTCGGCGAACTCATGACGTCACATGAAATCCGAACGCGATTCGTCGCCTCCGCTGCCGAAGCAGCACGTGACGCCGACGTCATCGTGACCGCCACGTCTTCACCGAAGCCAGTTCTGCAAGCCGATTGGTTGAAAGAGGGAGCCCACGTGAACGGTGCGTGCACACATATTTGCTGGTGCGGAAATTACGAGAAGACCTGCATTGGTGTCGTTGCAGCGGTAGGGGCACCAAGGCTGGACTGGCAGGAACTTTCATCTGACGTCATGCTGAAATCGGTTGTCTACGTAGACAGTGTGGAGGGAGCTTTGTCGGAATCGGGAGACATTGTCCAATCGGGGGTAAGAAATAATGAAGCGTTTATTTATTTCGAAGGGGTTGGAAACAAATATAAGAGAAACAAATCTTGTTTTTCACAACTTGGGGATTTGCATGCTTGATATTTTTTGTAGTGTTGGCGAAAGCAATGCATTATGTAGCACAGCAATAAGCATAATGTTTCATCTTACTCTTTTTATTTACTTATTTTATTTTGCATTCCTTTATGAGGCTCGAATTTACGCGGAGATCGGTGAAGTCGTGCTCGGCACCAAGGAAAACCATCGGAATGAGATGACCGTCTTCAAATCCTTGGGTACGTGGTGCCTGCTTGGGCGTTCAGCCGTATTGGGGGTCCGTGGCTAGTTGTGTTAAAATGCTTCTTTTGTTTGAAGGTATGGCGATCGAAGATGCCTTGGCGGCCGAACTTGTTTACCGCCACGCCGTGACCGAAAAGAAGTGAGAAGAGAATATCCCAACTTCGCCTGCACAAAACACAAACGTTAACGGCTGGTTGTGTGTGTGTCTGTTGTTAAAATAATACCTATTTTTGCTTTTTCCTTTTTTTTTTCTTCTAGAAAACACTATCATAATAATCTTTATTAAACTTCTTGATTTTGAGAAGTTTTTTTTTTTTTTTTTTTTCAATACAATCATGTTGGATTTTCGTATTTGGAGTTTCAGCCAAAATGACATTCAGATTTGAGGGATGTGAACTCAGTTTAGAAGTGTATTTCAATGTCTGCAAGACTTGCTGTGATCACATTAATAAGCTTCCAACACAAGAATTGGTGTGAACACGTTTGTGGTTGTCTTCCGAATGCAGATTATAAAAATATATTATTTAAAAAAAGTGATTTGTTTTATTTTATGTGTTTTCTATCCTTTATAAACACCGGGTGATATTTTTATTCAAGACAGAATTTTTTTTCTAAAGATTGAAAATTGCGAGCTGAATGTCGTCTCGCTGGGCGTATGTCGAGTATGACGGACATGAGAAGTGCGAATAACCGCCAAGTCTGTTGGGTAATTGACTAAAATTCCGTATTTATCGTTTTAATTACTGAAAATAAACATATGGTTTCAATGAGAAACCAGCTGAATTTTTCAAAATTCTGTTTCGAATAAAAAATATCACCCGGTAAATTAGAAATAAGACGGGACTGAAACATAAAAGTGAAAGCAACAGATTGTTGTCATGATAAGACGAAGCCAAACCTTCACCTTTGAAAGTTAAAAAAAAAATAGAAAAAAAGAAGCGATTATCAAACTTAAATTACGTCCCAGCTATAGTATAATGCCGTCAATACAATTCGGAGTTTTATGGCAAGGAGGAAGAGTGCTTCCAGCAAAACCTGCCTGAAATTGCTTGGCCCGCACCTCAAGGTCCCTTTGTATGCCTCGGTGGAACAAATCCTATGTGCGATATTTGCGTTAGTCATCAGTTGACCCAAATTGTGTCAGACTTTACACGTACACAGGTTTCCTAGCAGAGTGTCCTGGACCTGATATTCGTGATCGAGTACTTTCCAAAAAAAAAAAAAAAAAAGCTGGACGTGAACATCGTTCACGGCATATATGACCATGACATTGTGGTAGCCTTGCTTACACTAGATACGGAGCCAAAAAAATACGAGCAATGTTATTCAAGTTTTAGACTTAAATCGTGCTAATGGTGTGGCCATCTTGAATTTTTTTATCACCAAGTCGACCCTTTTTATGAACTTTTCCTGCAATCAGATGGTTCCGCAAATGACCTTTGGAATTCCTTCAGGTCATCAAGTTTCCCTATGTATGAATACCCATATTCCAACTCAAAACAAAAGAACCGCCAAGCGAAATCCTTGGATAGCGCGTGAAATCATTCATACCAAGCGAAAAATGAACAGACTCCAAAGACAAACAACGATTAGGAAAAGTGCATCGAAGAAAGAACAAATCACCAACTTAACTAAAGAAGTTGAGAGCAAAATGAAGTGTGCTAAAAAGAAGTTTTACAACACAACCCTTGATTCCTTCATCAGAACAGCACCTGACAAAATTTTGGAGGTACATAAATCCGCACGCAAAAGTAAGTAACGATACAGCAATCATCAGCAGCCCGGAAAAGGCTAACAACTTCAAAGACTACTTTCTTTCAGTTAGTATACGCGACAACGGCGTCATGCCACCCTATATGAATAGGCAATTGCAAGATACCGTGGGCAACATAACAATATCCGAGACTGGCATATTCTGTCTTTTTCTTAATCTTGATCCTTATCACGAATATATAGGAAATCGCTACAAGAATAAAAAATTCCACCCGACTGGAAGCAAGCTAAAGTTCTTAGAATTCATAAATCGGGCAGCAGAGAAAGCATTTCAAACTAGAGACCAATTTCACTTAATTCAACGTGTTGCAAATTATTGGAGCATGTTATCCTAAAGCATATAACTGCTTTCATCGAAGAAAGCAACGTTTTAGGTGTATGCCAGCACGGTTTTCGATCCGGATGGTCGACAGTCGCTCAGTTAATTGAAAGCGTGCACGACTTTTCCTCGGTTATAAATCGTAGAAGCCAGGTGGATGTCATCTTTTTAGATCTGCTAAAAGCGTTCGACAGTGTTCAAGTTAACGAAAATCTTAGACGACGGACAAGTTGTAAATTAGATAAAGGACTACCTCTCTGGACGATCTCAATTCGTGGAAATGAACGAAAAAAGCTTCTCTTCGTGCTCCATATTAATGACATAACTGACAACATCGACATCGACATTAGACTCTTTGCTGATGGTTGTATATTCTGAAATAACAAATTCTTCGGACAACTTACAATTACAAAACGCGTTGGACAAGACCTCAGACTGGTGTGAAGAATGGCAGATGCTTTTTAACACAGACAAAACAGTAGCCATGTGCATTAGTAGGAAGAAAAACATACTGTGTTATTCTTAAAAGATCAACGGAAACATTATACAAAACGTGCGCGAGTTCAAGTACCTGGGAGTCTCGTTCACAAGCGATCTGGACTGGGGCATGCACATATAGACGCAGTGACCGGAAAAGCGCTAACGAAATTGTGGTACATAAGAAGGCAACTAAAATACGCTTCCCTCGATACCAAACTCCTGGCCTACACGACACTTATTCGGCCTGTGCTTGAATATGCCAGCCCTGTTCGGTTCCCCTTCACAAAAACTAATATACAAAAATTAGAAAAAGTGCAGAGGCTCGCTGTATAAGGCTAATTACCAATAAGTTCAACGCGCGTGATTCGCCATCTGAGCTGTGTAGATTGCTCGGCGTGCAGCCATTAAAAAACGAGATTGAAGCTAATTTACCAAATAGCCAATAACTTGACTAAAATAGAAAAATCCAACTACCTTATTCCCCACAATGGAAGAGAAACCCGTTCAAACCACGGAAAATTATTCAGGAAGTTCCAACCAAAAAATGATTGCTTTAAATTTTCATTTTTTCCGCTAGCAGTCCAGGAATAGAACAGTTTGTTTGCTCCGACATGCTAACACAGTCCATCAATGATGCCGAAGCGCTCATGATAAGAAAATACCATGTCTCATCCACTCCGTTTGTTTCATATATTTGTTACCCTCTGTATAACTCTGTTTTCTCTGTACTATATGGTTAGGCATCTGTGTTTTGTACCACCCTACAAAAATCCTCAAATTAGGATTATTAGTACTGATAAATAAATAAATAAATAAAATAATTCGTTTTGTGAATGCTGAATGCAAAAATGAATGCACCCAGCATTCATTTTAACAGACGACCACCAGAAGTCGTTGCTAGCTTGCCTGCCTGCATTCGACACTTGAAACGTTCGGGAAGGGGACTGGAAAAATGTATTTTGGGGAAGGTTTTTGCAGCTCATTCCTGTCGCCAGACGCAAGGGGGACCTCCAGCGTGCTACCTTGCTTTTTGTTTTTTTATGCTGTTTGTACTTTTTGTAGCTTTGTGTGTGTGTGTGTGTTAAAGCTGACGCGTCTCTTGGCGCGCCGCTCTGTGTCGTCTGGTCCCCGCGGAAGACAAACTGTCGTCTGCTTGCGTCAAGAAAAAAAAAAAGCGAGAAACAGAAGGAACAGGCATAAAGAAAACCCTTGCTCAGAACACAACATGGGAAACACGTCGCTGCTTCTGTCCGCGTTGTCCGGACTTTTGGTGATGGCCGACGCCAAGTACCGACCTGATAGTGACTCCTGCTGGGTGATGGGTGATTCTCACCTCTTCAAGAAACGGGTAGGTGTGTTATTCTTTTTATTCTTTTCCCCGCCGATTCAGCTTTTAGTACGAGTACGATTCCCGAGTTCTTCTAAACTTTGGCAGGCATACCCCAAACAAAACTGGTAAAAAAGAAAAAAGAAAAAAATTATTTTGTTAAATTTAAGTAAAGTCTGAGTAATTAATATCACGTGGCTCCTTGTTGCCCTGCGAGCGGTGGTTTTCTGAACGCAGTTATTTAATAGCCGTGAAACTGTATAACAATAAGCTGCGGTAGCGCTTATTAAACTATTGCGGAAGCACGTGTTAATGTCTAATCCAAATGTCAGACCTCGCGGTTTCTGCCATGTATACGGTGGCAATAACACTTGTCCATAGCGCGGGTTTCTCCAAAGAGGGTGTCATTCGCGGCAACTAACCTAGCAACGTGGAGGAAACATGGAACAGCCCTCTCCATGAGGGCTGCCGACACATAATACGCTGGCTTGACAAGACTTGGTGAATAATTTTGAATATATATATATAAATAACGGAAAGAACATCAAACACAAGGACGGACAAGACAACTTCCCTGTGTTCTTCCCAACTATTTATATTACCCTTACCAGCACGCTTTCCATGCCAATTATTTTTTTAAAACCCTGCATTGCAATCGTTTTTATTTTTTTTATTTTTTCGATGGTGACTGTTGATAGACCCACGGGCTTTATTGATGTTTGTGAAGAGCCTGATAGCAGCCTCCCGTGGTACCATGTATATGGACAAATGTGATTACCACTGTATAATGCAATGGTTCTGGAAGACAGGATCGGATCGGCACATTCGTAAGAAAATGGCCAGATGTGCGCACCATTCCAGCGCTTGTCACCCAGGCGAAAAACGCCGAGTCGGTATACGTTGGACCGTGGTCGCATTTGCAACATATCTGATGATTGAACAGAAGAGGATCCTGCGCATGCTCCGAACGTCTTCCACAGCCCAGTGGACAAAGATATGGCAGCGCGCAGAAGCCGATGATCGGACTATGGAGACTCGAGGATTCGGAGGGACCAACAGTGCTAGATCTGACACAACTTGGGACGGATCTTCAGATTCCCGTGCAGATTGTGCGTCAGCTGAACGAAGCGCAGGACCTCCACGACGTGCTGAGAATCTGCTCTGGAGGATCGAGCGCGTCCTGGCGAAGCATCAGCACACACGGTGAATACATATTCGTATACCGCTTTCTTCCAGTACACTGTAAGCCCGTCGATTGTATTCGTCTGCGTTAATACCGATGGGGGCGATGCAGACCCACTTTCATTTTCGTAAAAAAAGGATATTCTTGGAATCTTCCGAAAAAAAAAAACAAAAAAAAAAATCTTAATTCACTCGCATAAAAAAAGACAAAAATTGTAACACATTGGGGCTTTCTCACAAGTGGCATATATCTTACTACGATATTTACAAGTAGCTCATGCGGGTCTTTAATATGTCGACATTTGTACTGTGCGATGCCTTCAAGTGAACTTTTTCGACCGCGCACGCAGGTTACCTCCTATGGCAGATCCGTTCCTACCAGGAAGAGGACCTCGCCGCGGCGCGGTTCATGAAGATGGCTGTCAACTCTCATGGCACGACCTCCGGTAAGCAAAAGAGTTGCTCCATTGTAAAGCGAGCGCTTATCGCCACCGTGTCTGCCGCACATGTACCTGAATCCAAGCAACAATGACACGCACACGCACGCACACGCACACACACACATACACACACACATACACACACACACACACACACAGAGACAGACAAACGCGCGCGCGCATACACACGCACATACGCACACGCGCACGCACGCACACACACGCGCACACACGCACACACGCACACGCACACACACACGCACACGCACACACAAAAAAAAGACGTAACGTGAGCTGAGTACGGGAACGGAACGATGGCTGATCGCGCTTGTCTGCAGGCGGGAAAGAACCGTATATGACGCCGTTTTTCTACAGCGAACATGCAGAAGTTTTGAGAGTAAAGATGAGCGCACAGTTCTCTGACACAATGAAAAGTAAAAATACAAGAATTGAAATGCGTAAATATTTGTGGCGCTGGAATCAGATTCGACTCGTGTTTTCATATTAGGGAGTTGTAGTAGATCGTTTTTCTCCTCCGCTACGGTAGCCCCGAAGAAAATGCCGCACCTGCGCATGCGCGCCGCCAGCCTTCTCTGCATAGTTCAAGGTCTTGTGGCGGATTACGGAGCGCTATCCGGGTGCTTAGCGGGCTGCGGGAACGGTCTACTACAATTCCCTATTGATTGATGCGCTGGCGGAGCGGTGGGTATTTTTACTGACGTTATTTCTTCCACCATTTTGCTGCTCTGAGCTGTCTGGCGTGTGCTGAAGACCAGCATTCCAAGGACTTTCATGACCCCTCATATGCGTAGAGCATTGAAGCTTACAAGTATTACAAGGCTGAAATCTCAACAGCTTGCGATGTAATTCTTCAAATTAATCTTTTTTTTTAGCAAACTAACAACAAAATGGCGGATTGACGTCATGTGAAAACACGTTCAGCGCCTATCACCCAGGAGAAAAATGCCGAGCCACTGGGCTCTGAATCCCATGCGCGGCCTCTAATATTCCGCAAGAGGGAGCTACATCCTCATGCTCCGAACGCCTTCCACAAGGAGAGGAGGACGGCAGCGCACAGAACGCGATCGTTGGAATGATAAGCAAGCGAGATAACAGAAAGGTCTGGGATAACGGTATGATTGGCAGCACCTTCTGGTCACGATATTTCGGTAACGATGAATCTTCCGCGTTCATTTCTAGCCATGGACCACGCCAAGGCCGCTGCATCCAAGGAAAAGTCGTCTGCGCTCGACGGCATGATGCAGTCCGACGCGCCAGCACGCCGAAGTGAGTCGCGACTTTTTGCAGAAAGCCAACGCCGCCTAGAAGTCAAGGCCGTAGTGCTGACATTTTTGCGTCACCGGCAAAGGCCAACGCTGGACACAGATTGGAAACCAGTGCTCCGTCATTCGCTCGGCTTCCAGTCAAGTTTGAGCCGAACGTTGACGCAATCGTCGTGTCCAATCGGTGATCAGCGTTGGCCTTCGCTGATGACGACATCTCTGTCAGCAGTATGGCTTTGTTATCTAGGGGGTGTTGAGAAAGCCCGTTTCTTCAATGCGTGCGGCTTCTTAAAAAAGCCCTTAAAAAAATAAATAACAGTCTGGTTGGGACATGCGTGACAAAAAATACACCTCACGCGAAAAAAAAAATTAAGAGCAATATTGACGGCGCGAGACGCGATTTAGTCGGCAGTCACTCCCTTTGCAATTGTTTTCTTTCTCGGCATTTCGGGAAGTCTTCGCGACCGAGACGGTCATTCCGGGATGACCCGTGGCGTCATGGACTTCGCTTGTTGAATTTCAAATAAATCCCTCGCCGTCATTATTGCTCTATTTCTTTTTTTCTTTTTTTTTTTCGCGTAAAATTTATTTTTGACACGCGTGTCCCAGTCAAACTGTTAAAAGCAATTTTTATTTTCCTTTTAGTGGCATTTTAAGACTTTGTGCCTTGAAACGTCTTCAAAACTCTTACGACGAGAGCAGGACGCGAGAACTCACTGGTGCCACCTATTGGGTAGCCGTAAAACTCTTGGCCGTCACGTATATTTTTTTTTCTTTTTCGCGCATCTTTTTTTTTTTTTTTTTTTGGCTCGAAAAACATTTAACAGACTTTATAAACTACCATTTGCCATAAGTAGTACGTACATTTGACCTCCCAAATACCTCCAAAGCTTCGCTCTAGTGAAATGTAGTTCGCCAGCGTGTTCTCTCGTCCAGAGATATACGGCTCTTCGCTTGTCGTAAGAGGTTTTAACTTTCCGTCTCACTAAAACCGTACAGTACAGCCAAAGCTACAGGGAAAAGAGCGTATCCCGACCTGTTTAAGAGGAGGGAAAGGAGGGACGGGGGATCTCAGTCCTTCTCTCTCATTCCTCCTTTCCCGCATCTTGAACAGGTCGGCATACGCTCTATCCCCTGTAGCTTTGACTGTACTGCACGGTTTTAGTCACTTGGTTCTAAGGAGTCGCAAGTGTGTGAATAAAGGCCCATTCACACTCTTGCGACCGAGTACGACTGAGAGAGACGAGATCTCTTACAACTTCTTAAATGTTTCTAGAATGAGGGAACACACTGACATTGTGGCGCCATCTATGCGGTGACCCTAGAACTGCATTTCACAAAAGCGAAGGTTTTGCGGGATTTCCGAGGTCAAATGTGCGTAATACACATAGAAAGAAAAAGAAAGGATATTGCGCGAGAAATAAAAAAAAAAATATGCCGGACCGCCGAGTTTACACTGCTTCCCAATAGATGGCGCCAGTGTGTTCTCTGGTTTAAGAAGTTTTAAGGAACCCAGGTTTAAGAGGTCGCAAGCAGTCGCAAGAGTGTGAACGGGCCTTAAAGGCCCGTTCACACTCTTGCGACCTCTTAAACCTGGGTTCCTTAAAACTTAAACCAGAGAACTTCTCTGGTTTAAGAAGTTTTAAGGAACCCAGGTTTAAGAGGTCGCAAGCAGTCGCAAGAGTGTGAACGGGCCTTAAAGGCCCGTTCACACTCTTGCGACCTCTTAAACCTGGGTTCCTTAAAACTTCTTAAACCAGAGAACACACTGGCGCCATCTATTGGGAAGCAGTGTAAACTCGGCGGTCCGGCATATTTTGTTTTTATTTCTCGCGCATTATCCTTATTTTTTTGGCTCGAAATACTTTTGTCAATGTTATAAACGAGCCTTTCTATGGTTATTACGCACATTTGACCTCGGAAATCCCGCAAAACCTTCACTTTTGTGAAATGCAGTTCTAGGGTCACCGCATAGATGGCGCCACAATGTCAGTGTGTTCCCTCATTCTAGAAACATTTAAGAAGTTGAGGCTCGTTCACACTCTTGCGACCCAGTAAGACCGAGAGAGACGAGACCGGTTTTTAAGCCTCTTGCGATTTCTTAGGACCAGCTCCACTGCAGTGCATCCGGTCCTAAGAAGTCGCAAAAGGCTTAAAAACCGGTCTTGTCTCTCTCAGTCGCATATATGTGAACGGAGCTTTAAGACCGAGTGTGCTGACGTCGCAAGAAGCTTAAAAACTGGTCTTGTCTCTCTCAGTTGTACTCGGTTACAAGTGTGCGAACGAGCCTTTGGGACCAGCTCCGCAGCGGCGCATCCGGTCCTAACTTCGTCACGAGAGGCTTAAAAACCGGTCTGGTCTCTCTCGGTCATAGAGATCATACATACTAACTCTAGAGGAAAAGGTCCGCCATTTTCCCATACATTCTGGCTGCCGCAAGCGGCGGATCATGCAGGCAGACCCTCGGGGTCCCAAACACGGTTACATCATCAGAGCAGTTTCGTGAACTTCAACAATCCACGAACTTACCGGTGGAAAGATATTCGCGTTCCTTTCGAAGCTTTCTTTTTGCATAGCGCGCAGATGTACGGCCTCGCGTTAACGCTAAACTAAACCATATACCCGGCTTCGCCAGTGGGGCGCGGCTGGGCGCGGTTGAGGAATACGAAACTGCGCAACTACCAGATTTCCGAGATTTCGACAGAAGGGAAGTTAATGCCGCGCAATGACTTTATTGCTTTTTATAAGCGTTAGAATAGCTCAGAATTTAGTTTACAACGTTAAATTATCACTGTTTATATTGCTGAGAGTTTTCACTCTTCGTGTTTACCATGGCAACGTTGCTTTCTTTCTCTCGTGTTCTGTCGCTCTCTTTTGCGATCGTTCACTCGGGACCAACGTTACTAAAACACTCAGTTGGGAAACTCGCCGTCGAAACCCGGGCCGCTGGCGTCCACCCAGACCGAGCTAAATGCGACAACAGCGCCACTCGTTTTCGTTTGTCTGTACTATGGTCACCTCGAGCTTTTTGAAAGCCTGTTTTTGCGTAAAAACAATCGGAAAAGACTCTTTTTGTATGAAATTTATTGGAGTTTAGTACCAAATGATGGGCGCGTGATGTTTTTATCATCTTTAGTTCGCAAGGTTTTGCGGAACAATTAATATTGTTTTTATACAACCATGCCTCAGCGGGCCTTTCAGGTAGCGCGTCCAGACCTAGGTGCATTTTAACTTCCGATGTCGAACGCGGCGCGTCCGCCGGGGAGACGGGGGTTGGCTTGTCGTCGGGTTGCGGTCGCTCGTTCGTGCGAAGCGTCTCTAGTTTTGCACGCGCCCAGGGACCTCAATTTATTTGTGGTCCCCGGGGTTCGAAGCCTCCGCCATGTCGACGCCTACGAAGGCACAGTGTTTCTCTTTTAATGTTCCGGCGGACACTCCGGTAGATGCCATCATGGACAGCATTCAAGCCGTCGCCGGCGGGGATGGTCTTTCGTACCTGCAACACCACGGTGGAGCAAGGTTCATGGCAGCGGTCAGCACCATGGCCGCCGCACAACGACTTGTAGCGCAAGGTTTCTTGTCGCTGGGTAACGTGGAAGTCCCCCTGGAGCCAGTGGGAGCCCACGTTGTGTTTGTCTCGGTGTACCGCCTTCCCCCGTACGTGTCGGAGGAGGCACTGGTGCAAGTCCTCGCACAGTACGGCAAGGTGAAGGCAATCAACCACGTCACGTTTCGAGACCGCCCGGACGTCAGGACCGGCACCCGGGTGGTCAAGATGGAGATGTCGAAGCCGGTCCCCAACTTCGTCCACATCCAGGGACACCGGGTGATGGTGGACTACCGTGGTCTGCGACGCGTCTGCAGCCGGTGCGGGCTGGAAGGCCACATCGGACCCGCCTGCAAGACCCCACGTTGCGACAGATGTGGCGTTTTTGGGCATGCGACGGCAGGTTGCACGGCTCCTTGCCAGCGGTGCGGCCACGGCCACGCGACCACGGACTGCGTCCAGCGAAAGTCGTATGCCGCCGCCGCCAAGCAACCCAGGGAGGACCGTCCACGCACTTCGCAGCGAGTTGTCGACACCGTCTCCGACCCAGCCCCCCAGCTTTCCGGTGACGACTCGGACCCGTCCATCCGCCCGCGGACCCCACCACCTCCCCCTGTTGTCTCGGATTCCGACGCTTTGTCGAACGCCGGAGTTTCCGACAGCCAAGCTTCGGGCGCTCCATCGAACGCGGCCGCCCCTACCGACGGCCAAACTTCGGACATTCCGTGGAACGCGGACGCCAACCCCGGCAGCCAAGCGTCGCGCGTTTCATCGAACGCGGCCAGCAGCCAAGCCTCGCGCGTTCCATCGAACGTGGCCGCTAAACCCGACTGCCAAACCTCAGACGCTTCGTCGAATGCGGCCGCCATCCTCGAATCTCACAGCATTGATTCCGAAGATCTGAGCGACGATTCCGACCGCCTTTTCATCGCCGAGGAAGGCGACGTGACCCCAGGCCAGGGACATCCGCCACCCACGCCAGAGGTTTCGACGACAACGACGTCACGTGAGTCGTCCGCAGAGTCGGCATCTCCCGACGCCGACATGCCGGACGACCGCTCCGATGCCAAACGCGTTTTCTCGCCTGCTAGTGGCGGCTCGGACGCGTCTCCCGCCTCGTCAGCTAAAAAGAAGCGGCTCGGCGCGGACAATTTTGACTACGCGGATTCGCTGGAATTCTAATCGACTGTCCGCCATGTTTTTCTTTTATTTTTTTTTCATGGGCCTACACATTCTGACGTTAAATGTGCAGGGTTTTCGGAATCCGAACAAGCAGCGCGAGGTGATACACTTTGCCCAGTCTAATCACTGCGATCTGCTTTTTTTGCAAGAAACTAATTTTTTTTCTGCCCGGGATGTGGCAGAATTTAAGGCCCGTTTTTCGATTCCTTGTTATTTTTCTCTCGCACCTTCTTGCGCGCGTGGTGTTGGCGTTTTAATATTCCGCACTTCGTTTT